ACAGGCGTGAGCCCCCGCGCCCAGCTATTTGTTTATATTGTATCGATTCCCCCACTGTGAGCCTGGGAAAGCTGCATCCTCTCTGTCTTGGATGTTTCTGGGTTCCCACTGCCCAGGACAGGACCCAGTACCTGCCCTCACACAGTAGGTTCTTGGGAAATGCTGGTTGTGCCCCAGCTCAGCAGCTCTGCTGGGTGACCTTGGGAATGTTATTTAACTTTTCTGGGCTTCTCCTCTTCTCCAGTCTCAGAAATAAGAAAGTTGGCCTCAACCTCCAGGAGAAGCAGGGAGCCTTTGGGCTCTGTTTGTGACACTGGACCCCTGAGTTTTCTTCCCTGGCCTGCTCCGCCCCAGGCACCCCAGACAGACCTGCCCTGTTTCATCCTGCCCTCCCCATCCCCAACAGCATCCCTTGGGATCTGGGCCCAGGGCAGGTGTGAGCTTTGGTACCAGCACAGCCATGTCAAGTTCTGCCTCTGACACATGTGTGCTGTGTGACTTCAGAGAGTAGCTTGCTTTCCCTGAGCTCAGTTTCCCCTGGCACAGGCTTGGGAGAGGAGTGTCTGGCGGAGTGTGGAGGCAGTTCAGACCTCACCTGACAGGTGTGGATGTTACCAGGGCCCCCAGGAAGCGCCCAGGCTGGAGGGGGAGGGGCAATGCCTAACACAACATACCGGTCCTGGGGAATCAGCACTGGCTTGGAAAGCCAGATGGGTTTTCAGGAGCCTGGGAAGCCAGCTGGAGGGCTTCTTGGAGGAGGTTATCACATAGGAACGAAGAGCTAAAGGTGGGACAGGAGCCTGGAAGGCCAGAAGGTGGGCTTCCTGGAGGAGAGGACCAAATAGGAACTAAGAGCTCAAGGTAGGAAAGTTACCAGTCAGATTGGCCCTGAGGTGGAACTGCTTTTGTGCCTTGAGCGGGATGGAGACAGATGAGGGCAGGAACTTAGGCAGGGCTGGATCCCGGAAGCATGACGGGCTGCTGAGAGGGGTTTGCAGTTTTTACCAAGAGTGCTGGGAAGTCTGGTGAGTGTTCCCAGCTGGCGAAGGGGATCAGTTTCTGCCTGAAACCCTGCTGTGGGTCCGAGTTAAACATTCTGGAATTGCTACACACGTGCACTGCAGTGGAACAGCTGAGCCATGAAGGTGAGGAGGACAGGTGAGTCTCAAACTTGGGGCTTAGCCTGGGAGGGTTGTTGGCTTCACCCAGGAAGGAATTCGAGGGTGAGTCAAGGGTGTTCAATAGCAACTTTTTTTTTTTTTAGACAGGATCTTACTGTCAAGCCCATGTTGGAGTTCAGTGGCATGACCTTGGCTCACTGCAGGCTCCAGGAGTATTCCCACCTCAGCCTCCTGCGAAGCTTGGACCACAGGCATGTGCCACCATGCTCAGCTAATTTTTTGTACTTTTTTTTTTTTTTGAGATGGGGTCTTGCTCTGTCGCCCAGGCTGGAGTGCAATGGCAAGATCTCTGCTCACTGCTCCCTCTGCCTCCCGGGCTCAAGGGATCCTCCCACCTCAGCCTCCCAGGTATCTGGGACTACAGGCACATGCAATTGACCCAGGTAATTTTTTGTATTTTTGGTAAAGACAGGGTTTCACCATTTTGCCCAGGCTGGTCTTAAACTCCTGAGTGCATGTGATCTGCCTGCGTGGGCCTCCCAAAGTGCTGAGATTACCAGTGTGAGCCACCACATTTGGCATGATCTTTGTATTTTTTTTGTAGAGATGGGGTTTGGCCATGTTGCCCAGGCTGGTAAACAACAATTTTTTTTTCTTTTTCTTTTCCTTTTTCTTTTTTTCTTTCTTTTTTTTTTTTTTGAGATGGAGTTTAGCTCTTGGCGTGTAATGGCATGATCTCAGCTCACTGCAACCTCCACCTCCTGGGTTCAAGCAATTCTCCTGCCTCAGCCTCCCAAGTAGCTGGGATTACAGGGGCTCACCACCATGCCTGGCTACTTCTTGTGTCTTTAGTAGACATAGGGCTTTGCTATGTGGGCCAGGCTGGTCCCAAACTCCTGACCTCAGGTGATCTGCCCGCCTCGGCCTCCCAAAGTGGTAATATCATAGGTGTGAGCCTCCATGCCTGGCCTTTTTTTTTTTTTTTTTTTTTTTTGAGACAGAGTGTCATTCTGTCACCCAGGTGGAGTGCAATGGCACCACTTGGCTCACTGCAACCTCCACCTCCCAGGATCAAGCAATTCTCGTGCCTTAGCCTCTCAAGTAGCTGGGACAACAGGTGCCTGCTACCAGGCTTGGCTTATTTTTATTTTTATTTTTGAGACAGAGTCTCACTGTTGCTCAGGCTGGAGTGTAGTGGCGTGATAACAGCGCACTGAGGCCTCCAACTCCCTGGCTCAAGCAATCCTCCAGCCTCAGCTCCCAAATAGCTGGGATTATAGGTATGTGCCGTCTCAAGAAAACAAACAAAAAAACCCCCTAAACCTGACAGATGCTACTTCCGCCAGGAAATCAAGGTCAACGCCAGCAGAATAGGTCAAGCTGACAATTTGTACGTTTGATATGGTGTGATGAGATGGGTGCTTCACCTCTGTTTGACCCTGAGAAAAACATCCTTGATGGAGGGACAGTCTATAGAACAGCTGACCACCGTTCCTCAAAACTGTCACCAAAAACAAGACAGTTTGACAAACAGTCACACCCAGAAGAGCCTAAAGAGACATGAGTCAATGTCATGTATGATTCTAGGATAAAAAAAGACATACCAGTGGAAGGTGATAATTACAGGGGAGGCGGGCTGGGCGCAGCGGCTCACGCCTGTAATCCCAGCACTTTGGGAGGCCGAGCCAGGCGGATCATGAGGTCAGGAGTTCGAGACCAGACTGGTCAATATGGTGAAACCCCAGCTGTACTAAAAATACAAAAATTAGCCGGGCGTGCTGGCACTCGCCTGTAGTCCCAGCCACTGGGGAGGCTGAGGCAGACGAATCGCTTGGACCTGGGAGGCGGAGATTGCAGTGAGTCGAGATCAGGCCATTGCACTCCAGCCTGGGCAACAGAACGAGACTCTGTCTCAAAAAATATATAAATAAATAATACAGAAAAAAATAATTGGAGAAGCTGGCTGTGGGGTATACTGGAACTTTCTGTACTGTCTTCACAATAATTCTATAAATCTAAAACTGCTCCAAAATAAAAGCTTTATTGGGAAAAATAAAAAAAAGGAACTGGCCAGGTGCCATGCTTCATACCTGTTGTCCCAGCACTTTGGAAGGCTGAGTCAGGAGGATCGCTTAAGCCTGGGAGTTTGAGGCTGCAATGAACTATGATCACGCCACTGCACTCCAGCCTGGGCAACTGAGCAAGACCCCATCTCTAAAAAAGAAAGAACAACGATAGTTGCCTTGGAGAACAGGGATTGTCTAGGGCTGGGATGGAGGGAACGAGAAACACAAATAGGAAACTGAGGCAGCTTCCAGACTGAAGACAATTGGGTCTTTGCCCAGACTCCTGTGGGGTGCAGGAAAATAGACAATTTGGAACTGTTTCAGAGACACTGAATCCACAGGATGGAACGCCGGTGATGAAGGAAGAGAAGATGCTCTCAAGGCCTCCCAAGCTTCTGGTCCATGCTCCTGGACTGCTCTGACTGAGCCTGGGAGGCTGGTGGAGGGGCAAGAGGCGATCAGCTGGGTGCCCTGTCCCTAGGTGAAGGGTTGAATGGGGGACTGGCAGGTGTTGTGTAAGTTTCTGTTTTCTTTTTCTTTTTTTGAGACGGAGTCTCGCTGTGTCGCCCAGGCTGGAGTGCAGTAGGTGGCGCGATCTTGGCTCACTGTAACTTCCACCTCCCCAGCTCAAGCGATTCTCCTGCCTCAGCCTCCCAAGTAGCTGGGATTACAGGTGTGCGTCACCATGCCCAGTTAATTTTTTTGTATTTTTAATAGAGACAGAGTTTCACCATGTTAACCAGGTCTCAAACTCCTGACCTCAAGTGATCCACCTGCCTCGGCCTCCAAATGTGCTGAGATTACAGGCGCTCACCATCACACCGGCTTTTTTTTTTTTTTTTTTTTTTTTTTTTTGTATTTTTAGTAGAGACAGGGTTTTGCCACACTTACTGGTGTCGAACTCCTGGCCTCAAGTGATCCATTCGCCTCATCCGCCCGAAGTGCTGGGATTACAGGCATAAACCATTGTGCCCGGCGTTGTGTAAGCTTCATTAGGGCCCAGCTAACGGGGACGAGGATGGCAGCTTCTCAGAATGTCATATGAGCTGGACGCCGTGGCTCACACCTGTAATCCCAGCACTTTGGGAGGCCGAAGCAGGCAGATCACCTGAGGTCAGGAGTTCGAGACCAGCCTGGCCAACATGTTGACACCCTGTCTCTATCAAAAATGCGAAAAATTAGCCTAGGGTGGTGCTGGGCACCTGTAATCCCAGCTACTCAGGAGACTGATGCAGGAGAATCGCTTGAACCCGAGGGGCTGAGGTTGCAGTGAGCGGAGATCGCGCCATTGCACTCCAGCCTGGACGACAAGAGCAAAACTCTTGTCGCAAAAAAAAAAAAAAAAAGAACTGTCATATGGCCGATTAAGGGAATGACCTCCTCTGCCAGTGGCCGGATTCCGAGACTGCCCTGGGCCAGCTGCCAGACTTGTTGTATGGCCTACAAGCAAGACCTAGCCCTCTCTGAGCCTGATTTCCCATCTGTAAAATAAATACCAATAATGTCCCGCTTACAGGCTTGTGGAGGAGGGGGGTCATCAAATGAGCCCTGTCTAGGCGCTCAGTAAACGTTGGTCGCTCCTTACCACTTACCATCGAGTCTCAGGGGGAAAGAGTGGCGCCTGTCTCTTTAAATTATGCAAATAGACTGCGGGTGGTGTAAGGGGGGGGAATATAAAAAGGATCCTGATCTACGGCTGGGCCAATCACCGCGCTGGGTTGGCGGAGCTGGCCGCCTAAATGGCCCAATGGCGGACCGCGCGGGATCAGAGCCCGCCTCTGCCTACCGGCGCCGTCACTGGGGTGGGGACTTTCTAGGCCACGCCCCAGGGGCGGAGCCAGCCGGCAGCCGCGCCGCAGCCTCGGAGGGAGGGGCGGGGCGGGCTCGGGTGTCAGCGACCAAGCCGCAGGTGGCGGCGAGCGCGGGGCTTGGCCCGAGCTCAGGAGGTGAGTGCTGCCCCCTGGACCCCCATGGGGCGTCCTGGCCCGCGCAGCCTCCCACGCGCACCGTACCCTGCAGCCCCGGAGGCTGCGGAGGGCAAAGGCGCGGCGGGACTGGCGGGATGGAGAGCAGGGGGTGGGGGTACGCGGCGGGTGCCCCGGCTTCCCCCCACCAGTGTTAATCGGGGGTCCACACTACAGGCGGAAATGGGGACAGCTCCCCAAATCCCGTCTCCTGGCCTAGAACCCAGAGTGCACGGGGGCGGTGGCGACGACGCGAGACCCCTCCCCAAATCCTTTTATTCTAAGCCTAAGTCTGGGTTCTGGGGCTGCAAAGATGGGGGCGCCGCTCCTCTTCCAGCCTGGAACGCTGGGCGGCGGCTCTGGTGGAGACCACCCCTAAATTCCTTCTTCACAGCTCCGGCCTGCAGACCCCCAGGGACCGAGATGAGGGACCCACTTCTCTTTTCCTCCAGGCCTGGTGGCTGGAGGAACTGGGAGGTCCCCTGGTCCCTCTAATCTGCCCCATCCCAGCCCCCCACCTCAAGGATGGGGTAGGGGGCGTTTACTGGCATATTCTGTGGGGACCCCGAGGTTGGAATTTTGGGGAGGAGGTCAGCATGGGGTCCCCTGCCTGGCACGGATTAGCCAGACCAGGCCTCGAAGGGCCTGGAGTGTGGACTTGGGGGGGGTCCCTCTCTCACTGAGGGGAGGTGTACAGCTAGCATCTGTTCCTGGGGATTAAAATAAATCGAGGTAAATTAGGATCTTGCCAGAGGCTGGCTGTGAGTGGGGTGCGGAGGAGGCTTGGGGGGTGGGGGGCCCTCCATCTGCCTTGGATCCCCCAAGTCACCTGCCCCAGTCGCATTGGGGACCGGGAGGCAGTGTTGAATGGACCTGCCTCACTGGTGACCTTGGGCAGGCGACAGCACCTTTCTGAACCTCCGTTTCCTCTTTTGAAAATTGAGGTTGGGAGCTTCAGACCCTGCATTTTGCAGATTCTGAACTCACCCAGCCCACCTTTTGTCCGATGGTGATTCACTCTTCTGCTTAACATGTGGGTGGTTTGGGGTCCTGAGAACATTGGGTTGAGGACCCTCCCACAGTACCTTGCTATTCTCTGAGCCTCAGTTTACTGCATTGAAAAATGGGTTGATGATGACACCCTGATACTCAGGTTGGGGGCATAGGGGCAGGGAGTAAAACATAGGACCGAGCTGCAATCGTCGGGACAGGGCTTAGCCACCCTGGCCTCACTGGTGGGGCCACCTAGGGCACACCCTGACCCACATACCGTCACCCACGCCAGGGGTGAAGCTGTTCTTGGGTTGGGTCCTGGGCAGGAGGAGGTGGGAGTTGCCAGGCCAGCTCATCCCCTGTCCCCCTCCCAGTGGTGGGCACAGGGCTGGGAGTCTGACACCTCCAGATTTGAATTTGCCTCTGCCTGTGTGTGTGTGTTCACTTGGTGTCTTGGTGTGTTCTTCTGTGAAATGGGCTGAATTCCTCTGGGAAGATGAGAGGAGTCTGTAGGAGGAGGCGAGCTCTGTAAATACAGACATGATCATTATAATATTAATGACAATATTAGCAGTGCTCATTAAATGGGGTCACTGCTGAGCAGGAGGAGGGTGGGGAAGGGGGAGTCTGCCAAGAATGTTGCCTGAGGAGACTCCAGCGTCTGGGAAATGTAGGTACACAGTCGGCACACAATAGATGTTTGCCAAATGAAGTGAGGGAAAGGGAGGGGACTCGTGGGGAGGGCAGAAAATTCCTGAGAATCCCTAGCTCAGATTCCCACTTGGTGGCTGGAGTCGCTATGTGACTGGGGGCATGTGACTCAGTTTCCCCATTGTGGTCAAGATAAGACTGCCTCGAGATGCAGTGGCAAGAATCAAGCCAGACTGTGTTAAGTGATCGCAGCCCAGGTGGCTTAGTCAAGGGGGAGATGTGACATTGTAGGTCATTGAAACAGCATGCATGGTACCCACTTGAACCAAGTGACCGGTCAGTGGGAAGGATGAGAAAACCCTTGCTCCTGGCCTACTGTGTGCACACTGGGGTCCAAGAGAGAGGGAAATGCCAGATCCTGGAAGGTCAGGAGTGGTCCAAGGTCATCGGCAAGTCAGCAGCTCCGGACTCCCAGCCAGGCACCACCTGATTCCCAGGGTGGGAGCTCCGGTCTTGCCTTTGTTGCTGATGTGGTTCCTACTTTGTTTTATCTCTTCCGTCTCAGCCCCAGGTTTGCAAGACTTGGTGCCGGGAAGGCAGGATGGGGCCCTGAGTCAGCTGGCAGTGTGCTGTGTGACCTTGGGTAAGTCTCCAGCCCTCTCTGGGCTTTGTGCTGGCTTTGTACAGGCTGGGAGACTTGGGCTCTAGCAGAGCTGACTACAGCAGACCCGACAAGCCCAACGTCTCAGGCTCACAGTGCTTTTAGGGGCCCCCAGGGTGATGTTTTCACTGCTTTTAAAATCAGAAGGGAAAAAGAATGAACTTCTGGGTTGAAGGAAGCATTTTTCTGTATAACATTAATATATTTGTCTTTATGCCAATGCAGTAGTAAAATATAGTTTTGTTTTGTTTTTTTTGAGAGAGTCTCACTCAGTCACCCAGGCTGGAGTACAGTGGTGTGATCTCAGCTCACTGCAACCTCTGCCTCCCGGGTTCAAGCAATTCTCCTGCCTCAGCCTCCCAAGTAGCTGGGATTACAGGCATGTGCCACCACACCCGGCTAACTTTTGTATTTTTAGTAGAATCGGGGTTTCACCATGTTGCCCAGGCTGTTCTCGAACTCCTGGGTTCAAGTGATCCACCTGCCTTGGCCTCCCAAAGTGTTGGGATTCCAGGCATGAGCCAACACGCCCGGACTAAAATATAATTTTAAATTCCTTTTGTAGTGAATACAAAATGTAACGAATACAAAAATGTCTTCCCCTTTCTGAGCGCGTTTCCCTCTCCGAGCCTCAGTTTACCCTGTCTATGAAGTGGGTATTGTTGCACGTCAGGATGGTGAGATGTTGAATGTCTGGGCCAGGGTAGGTGCACAGCTAGTTCCCAGTTTTTTTCGTGATTATTATTTGTTCGGTAAGAACAGACCTAGGTTCAGGCTGGGGGGCCCCAGGTTCAGGCGTCTGTTTGCTCACCCATGGCCTATGTAGTTCCAGGGAGGTCCCATGGGTGCCAATCGGGCGGGGGAGGTAAGGTGGCGGTTGGATGGTAGGCGGGGCGGGGTGAGCTTCCTGTCCCCCCCATGCACACAAGCCTCCAACTTGGCGCTGACGGAAGTGGCCTTGTGGCCGTCTCCTGGCGCCTGCCTCATCAGACGGGGGCCCCATCCGACTCGCTACCCTGTCCGGTGAGTTTGAACCCTGGCCGGTAGATACCCATCACCTCTCCTTGCCCCCTCCACTCAGGAGCAGAAGGGAGGCCCCTCTGCTTGGGGCCTGGGTTTCAGGAGAAGTAGCAGGTGTCACTTCCTGGGCTGGCCAAGGCCAAGGCCTGCGTGGGGCTACCCGTTGCCCTGTCCCCCGTCCCCCATTCCAGCTGTGAGTGGTGGTTTGGGTTGGGGCAGGGCAGCAGTGGGGGCTTGGAAACCTAGAGAGCCACGCGTGATGGTTTCAAACAGGAGGTCATTGGCAAAGAGACCAGGGGCAAAATCACAGTCAGCCGGGACCAATGACGGACCTCCCTGTGCCTCAGTTTCCCTCGTAACGTTGAGATTGCATCTCAGGGATGGCGTGAAGGTTGGCTGAACGGATGTGTGTGAATAGTTGGGTAGAGGGTCGCACACAGGCTGGTGCTCCGTGTGTATCTGTTTGCCAGGGGTGGGGTGGGTGAGGCAATCATTGAAACTGTAAAAACAGTAGTGAGATTCTTGGTTTCTGGGGAACTTGGGCTCTGTGGCTCCTGGGATCTTCTAGAACAATGTTGGTCACAGGACTTTCTCATCAGTGCCATCCAACACAGCAGCCACCGGCCTCATGTAGCTTCTGAGCCTTGGAAGGGAGGCTGGCGCAGGTGAGGAGTTGGGCATGTAATTGTATTTAATTTTGGGGTGTGTGTGCGTGTGTGTGTGTGTGTGTGTGTGAGAGAGAGAGAGAGAGAGAGACAGGGTCTCACTCCATCACCCAGGCTGGAATGCAGTGGCATGATCTCAACTCACTACAACCTCTGCCTCTGAGGTTCAAGCGAGCCTTGTGCCTCAGCCTCCCAAGTAGCTGGGACTACAGGCATGCGTCACCATGCCTGGCTGATTTTTGTATTTTTTGGTAGAGATGGAGTTTTGCCATGTTGGCCAGGCTGGTCTCGAACTCCTGACCTCAAGTGATCTGTCCACCTCAGCCTTCCAAAGTCCTGGGATTACAGGTGTGAGCCACCGTGTCCAGCCAGTTGTATTTAATTTTACTTGGTTTAACATTAATATAAGCCGACCGCGGTGGCTCACGCCTGCAATCCCAGCACTTTGGGAGGTTGAGGCGGGTGGGTCACCTGAGGTCGGGAGTGAGACCAGCCTGACCAACATGGAGAAACCCCATCTCTACTAAAAATACAAAATTAGCCAGGCATGGCAGTATCACCAGATACTGGGAGGCTGAGGCAGGAGAGGTGGAGGTTGCAGTGAGCCGAGATCTCGCCACTGCACTCCAGCCTAGCCAACAAGAGCGAAACTCCATCTCAAAAAAAAAAACAACAAACATACAAATCATTAATACAAGAATTAAGACCAGGGGTGGTAGCTCATGGCTGTAATTCCAGCATTTTGGGAGGCCCAGGTGGGAAGATCACTTTAGTGCAGGAGTTTAAGACTAGCCTAGGCAATGCTAGTGAGACCTAGTTTCTACAAAAAAAAATTTTTTTTTAAATTAATTGGGCATGAAGTCCCCGCTACTCAGGTGGCTGAGATGGGGGATCACTTGAACCTGGGAAGTTGAGGCTGCAGTGAGCTGTGATTGCACCACTGCACTCCAGCCCTGGGCAACAGAGCAAGACCCTGTCTCCGAAAAAAAGAAAAAGAAAAAACAGTTAATTCACCATTTGGGGCTAGTGGTTCCTGCCAGTCAGCACAGCTCTAAGGGATCTGGAGATGCTTAGGGTCCCGGTCATGGATAAAAGCTAAGACATGATATGGGAATTTAGAGCATTTCCCGTGGGGATGTCAGTATAGCATGCTCACCACCCTACCCCTGCCACCAAATTAGGTTTCCTAAGGGGCCACAGTAGGGGCCGGAGTTTTTCAGGGGCCCTGTTGTTAACCAGTGCAAGGTTAGGAATGTTTGTTGAAACAAACAATTTTTTGCCCAGCGAACTCCTATTCATCCTTTAAAACCCCAAGTCCCATGAACCCTCCTTTAGTCTAGGCTCTTGTGGACCTTGTCCCTCCATCTGGCTCAGCCCTGACCATGCAGGACAGGGGTAGCTGTGTCCAGCTCTGTCCCTCTAGACTGGGGACTCCTGCAGGGCCAGGCCCATGGCTGAATCAACTCAGGGACCCTGACATTATGCTATCCAGGGTGGGCATACGGGAGGTCTGAGGTGACTCACAGAAGCCCCAGGACTGGAGGGTGAGTGATACTGGGTCCAATTAAACTTTCTTTCTTTCTTTTCTGAGACAGAGTCTGGCTGTGTCACCAGGCTGGAGTGCAATGGCACAATCTCAGCTCACTGCAACATTCCTCTCCTGGGTTCAAGCGATTCTCCGGCCTCAGCCTCCTGAGTAGCTGGGATTACAGGCGCGCGCCACCACGCCCGGCTAATTTTTGTATTTTTAGTAGAGACAGGGTTTCACCACAATGGCCAGGCTGGTCTTGAACTCCTGACCTCAAGTGATCCGCCCACCTTGGCCTCCCAAAGTGCTGGGATTACAGGTGTGAGCCACCGTGCCTAAACTAGCTTTCAAGATGAGCTAAACTGAGGTGCATAGAGGGGCAGCCTTGCCCAAGGTCTTGCTCCGTCCTTTCCTGGGGAGACCCTGGGAGCCTCCTAATCCTGTGGCCACCGGTCCCTGTCTCTCTTGCCACTGTGCCTCTCAGGCTCCCAGCTGCTACTGAGCTGCCTGCCGGGTCATGAATTATGAATGAGGCCCTCGGGCTCCAGTAACAAGCCTGGCCTCTAGCACATGCCAAGGACACTGCCTGTTCGTCCCCTGCTGGGCGGCCTGACCCAGCCTTTTCTGCAGATACCTGAGGTTCCCTGGCAAGATCCCTTCTAAGCATTCCTTCTTATTTTGCAGATGGGGAAACTGAGGCACAGAGCTGGACAGTGACTCAGACACAAGGTGAACACTGGCTTTCAAGGGCCGGGTTGGGAATTGTGGGGGCACCAGTGCCAGCTGGGGCATCACAATGAGGGGTGAGCTCTGACTCCCAAGAGGGTACATAAGGTGGGGACTGTTGTAGAGGAATTCAGAAGACCCCCCAAGGGACCCTTAGGGACACTTCAGGGACCCCAACCCCCATGTGGCTGATCACAGCCCCTACATCTGTTTCTCTTCAAATCCTTTTCCTACAGGAACCGCCTGGAGTGCAGCTGAGAGCTCAGCCAGTCGAGAGCGCAAATCTATCACTTCCTAGCTGTGTGATCTTGGCAAGTGGCTTCCCCTCTGGAGGCGGGGAGGGCTCAGTTTTCCCATCTGTGAAGTGGCTCAGAGCTTTCTTGCCAAGGTTGGGGGTCATCCAGTACTGCTCCTACCCATTGCTATGAACTCTTATACATACCTTAAAACCCCACATTCCATGCCCCCTCCTCCAATCTAGACTCCCTCAGCTCTTGTCCCCCCACCTAGTCCAGTCCTGACTCTGTGGAACTAAGGGCATCTGTTTCTTGTTCTGTCCCCTTTACTGGAGCTACTTGGGACCAGCACCAGGGCCGAATTATCTCTGGGGTGCTGGCATGGTCTTAGCAATGGGGCTTTCAGTTCCTCCTTCATCCTTTCTCTCCCTCCTCTACAGGGAGGGACTTTCCCCCTCAACAGGCCCATACTGGCAATAACTCTGTAAGTCAAACTTGCCTCTCTCTTTAGACAGGCAGTGGACGGGGCCTGCGGGGGTCTCTGGGGGACCCAGAGATCATCAGGATGTCGTATTTTGGGGAGCATTTTTGGGTAAGACCTACTCTTATTTTGGTGGGGGATCCTGACAGGGCTTCAGGGACTTTTATGGAGATGGGGGGACTGGGTGAATTATTGTAGGTAGAGTCTTGGACAGGAAGGTCTGCAAGGGATGCAAGTTAACGTGGGAAGAGTCAGGCTGGGTTTGAATCCACACCCACCCCAGACCTCACAGGCCTTACGACCTTGGGCAAGTCATAGCTTGTGTCATAGGGAGACCAAGGCCCAGAGCAGGAACATCTTACCTGAAGCTGCCCCATGAAAAAGTGCAGAGTCAGCACTCAAACCCAGGGCCAAAATGAACTTCCAGGACTCAGGGTCATTCCAGCCAGGGAATTTCCACCCCCTTCCCATCCTGGAGAATTGGGGGGTTTTCCTGACCTAGCCAATCATGGCCTGTGCACCCCTCCACTGCCTAGGTTGGAGATCACCTACTATAGCCCAAGGGGTGCTGAGTGAGACAGATTTGTTTTCATTCATTCATTTCCTCCCTCCCTGCCACTGTGACCTCATCCCCAGCTCTCCCTAGGAGAGGCTGGGGCCTCCAAGAGAATCCATCCCAGCCCCAGCCCCAGCCCCAGCCCCAGCCCCAAGGGAGGAGTCCCCAGTCTGGGGGACCCAGAGCCAGCTTAGACACCTCCAGCCCTGCAGGACCAGGGCCGGACCCAGCCTTGGTGAGGGTGGGGGTGTCTCATAGTGGGAACCAGGACACAACAGAGTCATGTTTGCTGTGGGACAGCCTGGGCAAAAGACTAGGAGCATGACATTGAGTGGCAAGTTAAGGAAACAGGGACTCCTCCTGCGGAGCCAGGATAACGGGGTACCACAAAGGATGGGCGAACAGGGGAGAGCCCAGGAGTCAGGGAAGAACCGGGGCAGAAAGCCCCTTCCCCAGTTGCGGTCCCTGAGCTTGCAGCTAGGAAGCTTGTTGCTAGGTGACTGGTTGTCCCTGGCAACAAGCCCCACCTCCTGCCCTTGCTCCCTCCCCAGCTGGGGCTCCTCTTCCTGGCGCTTGCTTTCTTAAAGGGGCCGCACTCCCTTGCCACCTGGAGGGGTGTGACCTCTGCCCTCTCTCCGAAGGTCAGACTCCTCGATTTTCCCCTGAAAGGCTGTGTGACCCCAGCAAGGGCTACATCTCTGAGCGCCTTAGTACTGCTGTGTAATGGAGGTGACCGTCTGAGGATCAGAAGTCACCCACATGTTGGAACCCCGACAGTGGCACCTACCTTTATTTTAAATCCTTTTTAATTGCGTGAGGCGTGCGGGGCTCGCTGCAGAAAATTCAGATCAGCAGAGAGAAAATAGAAACCGCCCCCGACTTCCCCACCCCACCCAAAGATATCCTGGTTAAGTTTTGAGTTCAGGATTCGAATTGGGCTCTGCTGGGAGCCCTTGAGAAAAGGGCTTTACCAGCCTGAACCTCCGTTTCCCCAAGTGGGAAAAAGGAATGAAATTCCTGTACCGCCACTCCCACCCCACGCACCCCACGCACCCCACGCACCCCAGACTCGGGGAGGGGGTTGTCACTCCCGTGACATCTGTCAATGGCAAGGTTTCTTTTCATCAGTTGTTATTGAAGCCGTCACAGATGCCTGGTTCTTTGCTGGGGGATACTGGGCGCTGATGTCTCAAAGGCGCTGTCATCAGGGGAGATTAAGCCAGACAGGGATGCCCCAGTCTCATCATGCCAGGGCAGGACCAAGGCATAGAGGGTACTAGGGAGCCATGGGGGAAGTGTGAGCAGGAGAGGGACATAAACAAACTCTGTTACAAAGACCATACTCTTGGCCAGGTGCGGTGGGTCACACCTGTCATCCCAGCACTTTGGGAGGCCGAGTGGGGCAGATCACCTGAGGTCAGGAGTGGGAGACCAGCCTGGCCAACATGGCAAAACCCCATCTCTGCTCAAATACAAAACTTAGCCGGGCATAGTGGCATGCGCCTGTAGTCCCAGCTACTCTGGAGGCTAAGGCACAAGAATCACTCGAACCTGGAAGGTGGAGGCTGCAATGAGTTTGCACCACTGCACTCCAGCCTGGGTGACGAGCGAGACTCTGTCTCAAAAAAAAAGACCCCACTCCGCTGACACGGAGGCAAGTCTGAAGTCTGGAAGTTCTGGTGGGAGAGATCAACCTGAGACAGCCCCTCCTAGGACCCTCAGCTGCCAGCCCAGTCCAAGGGAAGCAGACGCCGCTGGGGGTTTGCCAGGTCTGGGAAAAGGGCCAGCATTTGGCTCTGAGTCAGCCCCAGATGCTGGTCTGGGCGGTGGTGCCTGGTGCAGCCTCACCCGAGGATCTCCTGGGGCCAGTGCTGTGCCAGCCCCATCCCACCAAGACCCTTGGGAACTGGGTGCTGTTCTTTTCCCCACTTGTCACACAAGGAAGAAAACTGAGGCCAGAGAGGCAAAGTCACCAACCCAAAGTGACCTTGAACATATAAGGAGACTGGACACTTGAACTTTGAGAGTATGATTCCGAACACATGAAGAGGGAAACTATGGGCGGGGCGCGGTGGCTCATGCCTGTAATCCAAACACTTGGGGAGGCTGAGATGGCCGATCACCCGAGCCCAGGAGTTTGAGACCAGCCTGGGCAACATGGCAAGACCCCGTCTCTACTAAAAATACAAAAAAGTAGCCAGGCGTGGTGGTGTGCACCTGTGGTCCCAGCTACTTGGGAGGCTGAGGTGGGAGGATCGCTTGAGTCTGGGAGGCAGAGGTTGTAGTGAGCCAAGATCACACCACTGTACTCCAGCCTGGGTGACACAGTGAGACCCTGTCTCAAAGAAAAGAAGAGAGAAAATATATTCTTGGTGAGCTGGAGGGAGCAACAGTGAAGTGGGAAGGGGTTTGAGCAGGGTTAGGGAAGTTTCTAGAGCATGGGGCAATGATCCTTGAGAGCTGGAGGGATGTGGATGGGCAGAAGGAGATGCAGGCTGGGGAGCTGATGGCAGGAATAGCCGGGACAAAAGGCGTGCTGGTGGAAAGGCACTGCATGTCCTCGCTGTTTGCTGTTTTGTAGGTGAGGCTAGGAAGAGGCTAGGAGATGAGGCTGGAGCGTCATGGGCTCGGACTTCGGCATCTGGTGGGCAATAGGGAGCCATCGATGATTCTAGAGCGAAGTGTGACCATTGGGAGATTTGGGCTTGAGGCTGACCTGGGTCTGCCCCAGTCTTGGCTTCAGTTTCTTTGTCAGTGCAGCAGGAAACATCACCTAGTGGTGACCTCTGGCTTTAACCTTCAAGCTTCTGCCCAAGTGTGGTGGCTCATGCCTGTAATCCCAGCACCTTGGGAGGCTGAGATGGGAGGATTGCTTGAGTCCAGGAGTTCAAGACCAACCTGGGGCAACATAGTAAAACCCTGTCTCTACTAAAAATTAAAAAAATCAGCCAAGCGTGGTGGCACATGCCTGTGGTCCCAGCTACTTGGGAGACTGAGGTGGGAGGATCACTTGAGCCTGGGAATTGGAGGCTGCAGTGAGCCAAGATTGTGCTGCTGCACTCCAGCCGGGGAGACAGAGCAAGACCCTGTCTCAAATATAGAAAAATATGCCTGGTGTGGTGGCTGACGCCTGTAGTGTCAGCACTTTGGGAGGCTGAGGCGGGCGGATCACAAGGTCAAGAGATCGAGACCATCCTGGCCAACATGGTGAAACCCCATCTCTACTAAAAAAATACAAAAAATTATCTGGGTGTGGTAGGGTGCGCCTGTAGTCCCAACTACTTGGGAGGCTGAGGCAGGAGAATTGCTTGAACCCGGGAGCCAGCAATTGCAATGAGCTGAGATCGTGCCACTGCACTCCAGCCTGGCGCCTGGAGACACAGCAAGACTCTGTCTCAAAAAAAAAAAAAAAGGAAAAAGAAAAGAAAAGAAAAATATATATAACATTCAAATATAGCATTCAAGCTTCCAGGTACCTGGGAGGGTGAACCGGCCGGTTGGAGGAGGATGCAGGAAACTACGATTTATGGAAAACCAGCCAAACGCTGCCAGAGCGATGGCTTCGCTGATAAGTGTTGGGACTTGAATAGCACGAGACCTCGCCACAAGCCTTCTTTTCCAGTATCATTACAAGACCTGATTTGGTGCTAAAATGTCCCCGGTTCCCTCAGACCCCAGCTGATGACCTTTTTTTGAGAGAGTCTCTGTTGCCCAAGCTGGAGTGCAGTGGCGCGATCTCGGCTCACTGCAACCTCCACTTCCTAGGTTCAAGTGATTCTCCTGCCTCAGTCTCCTGAGTAGCTGGGGTTACAGGCACACGCCACCACACCTGGCTAATTTTTGTATTTGTAGTAGAGACAAGGTTTCACCATGTTGCCCAGGCTGGTCTTCAACTCCTGACCTCAGGTAATCTGCCTGTCTTGATCTCCCAAAGTGCTGGGACTACAGGTGTGAGCCACTGTGCCTAGCTTGATTACCCTTTTTTTTTTTTTTTTTTTTGAGATGGAGTCTTGCTATGTTGCCAGTCTGGAGTGCAGTGGTGCGATCTCAGCTCACTGCAACCTCTGCCTCCCGGATTCAAGTGATACCCCTTCCTGAGCCTCCTGAGTAGCTGGGGTTACAGGCGCGTGCCACCATGCTTGGCTATTTTTTGTATTTTTAGTAGAGACGAGGTTTCACCATATTGGCCAGGCTGGTCTCGATCTCCTGACCTTGTGATCTGCCTGCCTTGGCCTCCCAAAGTGCTGGGATTACAGGCTGAGCCACTGCGCCCGGCCTGATTACCATTTTTAATGAACAGCTTAGTAGTGTTCAGGTATGATACCCTTCCCAGGTGACAGAATCTGGCTGGGATTAAGATAGAGTTCTTGGCTCTTTTTCGCCTACTCCCTTCATATGGCAAAGGGTTCCCTTGAGAATGGCAGAATAAGTTGCCCTTTGACGTAAATGTCTTTGGGGAAGAAGCATAAGCAAATGTGAAACAAATGTTAACTATTAATAACCAATATTACGAATTAGCAAAAACGAGAGTTGCCTCCGGGGCTCTGGGGAGCAGTGACGTGGGTTATCTCGCTGCTTGCATCGTCCCCCTGTAGGAGGCGGATGTCTCCCAGGCTGTGGGGTACTGGCATGATTTTGGCTCACCACAACCTCTGCCTCCCGGGTTCAAGCAATTCTGCTTCAGCCTCTTGAGCAGCTGGGATTACAGGTGCCTGCCACCACGCTTGGCTCATTTTGCATTTTTAGTAGAGACGGGGTTTCACCATGTTGGCCAGGCTCGAACTCCTGACCTCAAATGATCAGCCCTCCTCAGCCTCTCAAAGTGCCAGGATTACAGGCGTGAGCCAGCACACCCAGCCTTCCTGCCCCATCTTAATGAGGAGCTGCTAAAAGCTCAGAGAGGGTCACACAACGAATCCCTGGACTGCCCCACTGTGACAACCCCAGAAACGGGAGGAAAGAGATTTTCTGCAAAGCATTCTCAGGCACCAGGGTAGATGCTCAGTTTCCACTGGCACTAGCAGGTAACAGCAGAATCATTTGTTAATTTATTCAACAGACTCAAATGCCCTTTCTGTCTCTCATTCTGTGCTGGGCTTTGCTGGGTCCTGGGAGAGAACTCAAACTTTGATCCTACTTTGGGTTCTCAGAGAAGGAGTTTCCATGTTGATAAGAACAGAAAACATAACTATAGTGACTTAAGCCACAGGGATTGTATTGGTTTATAAAATCAAATTATCATGGGGCAGTGTGGCTTTCAGGATGGGTTTGATCCAGCAACTCGATTCAACGGACTTTTTTTTTTTGTAGCTATTGTAAATGGGAAAACTTTCTTGATTTATTTTCAGCTATTTTATCATTGGTGAAATGCTACTGATTTCCATATGTTGATTTTTGTATTTTGCAACTTAACTGAATTTGTTTATCAGTTCTAAGAGGTTTTTTTTTTTTGGTTTTTTTTTTTGAGATGGAGTTTTGCTCTTGTTGCCCAGGCTGGAGTGCAGTGGTGTGATCTCAGCTCACTGCAACCTCTGCCTCCCAGGTTCAAGCGATTCTCTTGCCTCAGCCTACTGAGTAGCTGGGATTACAGGCATATGCTACCACGCTCAGCTAATTTTGTATTTTTAGCAGAGATGGGGTTTCTCCATGTTGGTCAGCCTGGTCTCGAACTCCTGACCTCAGGTGATCTGCGCTCCTCGGCCTCCCAAAGTGCTGGGATTACAGGCATGAACCGCTGTGCCCAGCCAGTTCTAGGAGTTTTTTGGGGGGAATGTTTAGTCCTTTCTATACATAAGATCATGTCACAAAGAGAGACTACTTGTCTTCTTTCTTTCCAATTTTTTTCCTTTTTTTCCTGAGACAGTCTTGCTCTGTCACCCAGAGCTGGAGTGCAATGGTGCCATCTCAGCTCCCTGCAACCTCTGCCTCCCGGGTTCAACCAAATCTCCTGCCTCAACCTCCCGAGTAGCTGGGATTACGGGCATTCACCACCATGCCCGGCTGATGTAGAGACGGGGTTTCACCATGTTGGCCAGGCTGGTCTCGAACTCCTGACCTCGTGATCTGCCTGCCTCCACCTCCCAAAGTTCTGGGATTACAGGCGTGAGCCACTCCAACTTACTTTTATTTTATTTATTTATTTCGAAACAGAGTCTTGCTCTGACGCCCAGGCTGGAGTGCAGTGGCACATGCTGAGCTCACTGCAACCTCTGCCTCCTGGGCTCAAGCAATCCTTCTGCCTCAGTCTCCCAAGTAGCCACCACTCCCAGCTAATTTTTAATGGAGACGGGGTTTTGTATTTTAATACAGACAGGGTTTCGCCTTCTTGGCCAAGCTGGTCTCGAACTCCTGACCTCGAGATCCACCCACTTCGGCTTCCCAAAGTGCTGGGATTACAGGCGTTAGCCACTGCACCCAACGTAACACACTTTTTTTTTCTTTGAATACAAAAGCCCTCTGGTTTAGCTTCTTTCTAAGGTTCATGGTTTCCATTTGACTTCCAATATTCCCTGTGGCCACATAATTCTTCATTTAGGAAAGACGCAAAGAGAAAAGGGGAGGAGACTGAAACAGAAACAAAGGCAGAGAGGCTCAGAAAAACAGAGAGGAAGACGGAGACACAAAGACAGAAGGAGACAAAGACGCAGAACAAATGAGATTCCTCCCTACAAACGACCAGACAAAAAGAAAGTCCCAGGCTTCTCGCTGATTCGACCAATTTAGGGCCCATAGACAATCCCTATGGCTCAGGAGATATGCGGCAAGCTGATTGGCTCAGGCCTGACCGAGTCCCTGCAGCCAAGGGGATGGACGTCTTCTCCTTGGCCACGCCCCCGTTGCTAAGCAACTGTGATGTCCTGTCCATCCTTTCTCCATCTTACTCCCATCCCCTGCAGGGCGAGAAAAATCATGGCTTTGAGGTCCTGTACCACAGCGTGAAGCAGGGGCCCATCTCCACCAAGGAGCTGGCAGAGTTCATCCGGGAGAGGTGAGGTTCCCCAAGCCCACCCGCCAGAGGCCACGCCCACCACCCTGTAGTCACACCCACTATGGCTACCCACAATGGTCAGGGACTAGATCCCTGGGGATTCCAGGAACCAGAGGGGATCGAAAATCCTGGAAACGACTGATTCTCCACCCTGTCAGCCTCATACCTCCTTTTAAACAACAATCAGCCTGTTTAGAAAGTTCCTCTCCTGGCTGGGAGTGGTGGCTCACACCTGTAATCCAAGCACTTTGGAGGCCAAGGTGGGCGGATCACCCGAGGTCGGGAGTTCAAGACCAGCCTGGCCAACATGGTGAAACCCCGTCTTTAAAAAAAAAAAAAAAAAAGAAAGTTCTCCTCCTCTAAAGAAGATGATATACCTACTCATGGTGGGAATTTCTTTGGCGACAAGATCTTGCTTTGTTGCCCAGGCTAGAGTGCAGTGACTGGATCATAGCTCACTGTAGCCTCGAACTCCTGAGTTCAAGAAATCCGCCCACCTCAGCCTCCCAACTAGCTGGGACTACAGGCACGTACAACCACATCCGGCATTTTTCTTTTCTTGAGACAGAGTTTCACTCTTGTTGCCCAGGCTGGAGTGCAATGGTGCTGTCTCGGCTCCCTGTAACCTCTGCTACCAGGTTCCAGCGATTCTCCTGCCTTGGCCTCCCAAGTAGCTGAGACTACAGGGGCCTGCCACCACACCTGGCTAATTTTTATATTTTTTTAATTTATTTTTGAGACAGAGTTTCACTTTGTCGACAGGCTGGAGTGTGGTGGAGCGACCTCTGCTCACTGCAACCTCTGTCTCTTGGGTTTAAGCGATTCTCCTGTCTCAGACTCCTGAGTAGCTGGGACTACAGGCATGTGCCACCAATCCCAGCTAATCTTTGTATTTTTAGTAGAGAGGGGGTTTCACCATGTTGGCCAGGATGGTCTTGAACTCCTGACCTCAGGTGATCCACCTGCCTTGGCCTCCCAAAGTGCTGGGATTACAGGTGTGAGCCACCGCGCCCAGCCTAATTTTTATATTTTTAGTAGAGATGGGGTTTCACCATCTTGGCCAGGCTGGTGTCAAACTCCTGACCTTAGATGATCCACCCGCCTCGGCCTCCCACTGCACCCTGCCTTTTTTTTTTTTTTTTTGAGACAAAGTCTTGCTCTGTTGCCCAGGGTGATCTGATCATAGCTCACTGCAGCCTTGACCTCCTCCCAGGCCCAAGTGATCCTCCCACCTCAGCCTCCTGAGTAGCTGGGACTACAGGCATGCAGTACCACACCCATCAAAGTTTTTTAAAAAAAAATTGTAGAGAAGGAGTCTCGGTATATTGCCCAGGGTGGTCTCGAACCCCTGGTCTCCAGTGATCCTCCCGCCTTGGCCTCCCAAAGTGCTGGAGTTACAGGCATGAGTCACCATGCCCAGCTCACTACTGTTGTTAATAAAATATATAGCTAAGAAAAAAAATCCTCTCCTATGAATTTCCAAAACATTCCCCAGAGGGTTTTTTCATCCCCCCATATGGAGAGCCACTGCTCAGGTGTTTGAGATGGGGAAACTGAGGCCCAGGGGAGTAGCGCCTCTCTCAAGGGTATCTGAAAGCTTCTTCATCTTTTTTTTTGTTTTTTGTTTTGAGATGGAGTCTTGCTCTGTCGCCCAGGCTGGAGTGCAGTGGCGTGATCTCAGCTCAATGCAACCTCCCAGGTTCAAGCGATTCTCGTGCCTCAGCCTCCCAAAGTAGCTGGGATCACAGGCATATACTACCATGCCTGGCTAATTTTTGTACTTTTAGTAGAGGTTGCACTATGTTGGCCAGGCTGGTCTTGAACTCCTGACCTCAGTTGATCCACCCACCTCGGCCTCCCAAAGTGCTGGGATTATAGGCATGAGCCACTGCACCCAGCCAGTTTCTCCATCTTTTTTTTTTTTTTTTTTGAGCTGGAGTCTGGACCGTCGCCAGGCTAGAGTGCAGTGGCGCAGTCTTGGCTCACTACAACCTCCGCTTCCCAGGTTCAAGTGATTCTCCTGCCCCAACCTCCAAGTAGCTGGGACTATTTTTCAGTAGAGACGGGGTTTCACCATTGGCTGGGAGGGTCTCAATTTCTTGATCTCATGATCCACCCACCTCAGCCTCCCAATGCCTGCTGGGATTACAGGCAACGGCCATTGCGCCTCACCCGGTTTCTTTATCCCATTCTTCTACCCAGGGCTACCATCGAGGAGACCTACTCAAAGGCAATGGCAAAACTCTCCAAGCTGGCCAGCAACGGGACCCCCGTGGGGTGAGTGGGGCAGGGGTCACCAAGGTGGGAACATCGGGAGCCTCTTCCTACGTGGGTATCTCTTCACACTCAGGGCAGGAAGAACAGAGGTCATCCACCTCGATTATGGAGCTAACCAGATAGAAAGATGTATATCATTCATTCACTCATTCCACAAATACTTGTTGAGTGCCTGCTCTGTGCCAGGCATCAGCAGCAACCCAGACAGATAAAGCCCCGGTCACCATGCAATGTACGTCTGGGTTGTGTGACAAGACAGGTGTTAAACACAAACAAAACAGTTTTTTTCTGGTGTGAAAAGTGCTGGGAAGGGGACCAGGCTCAGTGGCTCACGCTGTAATCCCAGCACTTTGGGAGGCTGAGGTGGGCAGATCACCTGAGGTCAGGAGTTCGAGACCAGCCTGGGCAACATGGTGAAACCCCATCTCTACTAAAAATACAAAACTTAGCTAGGTGTCGTGGTGGGCTCCTGTAGTCCCAGCTACTTGGGAGGCCGAGGCAGGAGAATCGTTTGAACCAGGGAGGTGGAGGTTGCAGTGAGCCAAGATCACGCCATTGCACTCCAGCCTGGGCAATGAGAGCAAAATTCTTTTCTCAAAAAAAAAAAAAAAAAAAAAAAAAAGTGCTGGGAAGGAAATGAAATAGGAGTGTGAGAGATCGGGCACTTTATCTGGGGTGGGCCCAGCCTCCCTGAGCTGAGACCTTTATAGAAAGGGGCTGGCCATGGGGATGTCTGACAGACAGAGACCCAGGCAGGTGGCTCAGCCAGTGCAAAGGTCCTGAGTCCACAGGCATGGCATATTCAAGGAAGAGTGAGGAGGCTGGCATGGCTGCAGGCCTGGGCAACATGGAAAGCAAGTAGGAAGGGAGATGGCAGAGCATGACACACAAATGGCTCTACATGAAACTTTGTCCGAGCATGGTGGCTCATCCCAGCATTTTGGGAAGCCAAGGTGGGAGGATCACTTGAAGACAAGAGTTCAAGACCAGCCTGGGCAACATGGAGAACCCCCCTTTTTTTGAGATAGAGTCTTCCTCTGTCACCCAGGCTAGAGTGCAGTGGCATGATCTTAGCTTACTGCAACCTCCACCTCCTGGGTTCAAGCGATTATCCTGCCCCGCCTCCTGAGTAGCTGGGATTACAGGTGCCTGCCACTGTGCCCAGCTAATTTTTGTATTTTTCGTAGAGATGGGGTTTCACCATCTTGGCCAGGCTGGTCTCGAACTCGTGACCTGGTGATCGACTTGCCTTGGCCCCCCCAGAGTGCTGGGATTACAGGCATTGGCCACTGCGCCTGGCCCAAGAAACCCCTGTCTCTACTCAAAATGCAAAAATTAGCCGAGCATGGTGGTGTGTGCTTGTAGTCCCAGCTACTTTGGAGGCTGAGGCGGGAGGATGGCTTGAGCCCAGGAGATAGAGGCTGGAGTGAGCCATAATTGCACCATTGCACTTCAGCCTGGGTGAAAGAATGAGACCCTGCCTCAACAAAACAAAACACATAACATGGTCCCAATGGCATTTGCAGTTTTCTCTGTGGCTGCCATGAGGCAGAAGTTCTGTCGGGAGGGCAAGAGTGGAGGCAGCAGTAAGAGTAGGCAGGAGGGAGGCTGGACGGGGCTTCTGTTGAGGGGGAGGCTGAATAGACTTGATTGGGGCATGTGGTATCTCGGCCACTCTTTTTTTTTCTTTTTTCTGAGATGGAGTCTCACTGTGTCACCCAGGCTGGAGTGCAGTGGCACAGTCCCGGCTCACTGCAACCTCTGCCTCCCGGGTTCAAGCGATTCTTCTGCCTCAGCCTCCTGAGTAGCTGGGATTACAGGCGTGCACCACCACATCCAGTTAATTTTATTTTTTTCCTTTTGAGACAGAGTCTGGCTCTGTTGCCCAGGCTGGAGTGCAGTGGCGTGATCTCGGCTCACTGCAACTTCTGCCCCCTGGGTTCAAGCGATTCTCCTGCCTCAGCCTCCCGAGTAGCTGGGACTACAGGTGTGCGATACCATGCCCAGCTGATTTTGTCTTTTTAGTAGAGACAGGATTTCTCCATGTTGGCCAGGATGGTCTTGATCTCTTGACCTCATGATCGGCCCTCCTCTGCTTCCCAAAGTGCTGGGATTACAGGTGTGAGCCACCACACCCGGCCAAATTTTTGTATTTTAAGTAAACATGGGGGTTTCACCATATTGCTCATGCTGGTATTGAACTCCTGACCTCAAGTGATCCACTCACCTTGGCCTCCCTAAGTCCTGGAATTACCAGGGCCTGGGTTTAAATTCCTACTCTGATGTTCATTTGCTGAGGGCCTTGGGATGAGCTAAAGCGCTCCCTATGCCTCAGTTTCCCCATCTGTCGCAGGCCCGCCTCTTACAGCTGTAATGGAGATGAAATGAATGAGTACGCATTAATGTTTAACGGGGCTCAGGGCAGAGCAGAGGCCCGAGCCTGTGCCAGCGCTCTCTTGCGGTGGGGTGAGCCGCATGAGCCCTGGGTGTGACCTTGCCTGCCCCCAGGACCTTCGCCCCGCTCTGGGAGGTCTTCCGCGTCTCCTCGGACAAGCTGGCGCTGTGCCACCTGGAGCTGACACGGAAGTTGCAAGATCTCATCAAGGACGTTCTCCGCTACGGCGAGGAACAGCTCAAGACCCAGAAGAAGGTGTGTGTCGTGGGCGCCGCCTAGCGGGTGGGTGGGTGTAGGACACCAGCAGCTCACAGGATACCAATCTGGGACCTTGGAACCTACAGATGTGAGCCTCTGAGAGTTCCCTTCATTCCACGACGTCAAGCCCAGGGCCTTATACGCATTGTTGAATTTCATACTTGAAAATTCCAGACCAGGAGTTAGCACAGGCGGCCCGAGTGCCAAATCCAGCCCACCCACCCCCAGTGTTTGTACAGCTAAGAAGGGTTTTTTTTTTCCTTGTTTATTTTTAAGAGACAGGGTCTCGCTCTGTCACCCAGGTGCAGTGGCGTAATCAGAGCTCCCTTGAGTCTCAAACACTTGGGCTCAAGTGAACCTCCTGCCTTAGCCCCCACAGAATAGCTGGGCCTACAGGTGCATGGCTCTGTGCTTTGGCTAATTTTTTAAAAAATGTTTGAACCACAGTGACTCATACCTATAATCCCAGCACTTTGGGAGGCTGAGGCAGGAGGATGGCTGGAGCCAGGATCCTCCAGGAGTTTGAGACCAGCCTGGGCAAATAGGGAGAACCATCTCTACCAACAAACAAAACAAAACAAAACTATCCAGGCAGGGTGGCACATGCTGGTAGTCCTAGCTACTCCGGAGGCAGAGGCGGGAGGATCCCTTGAGCATGGGAGGTCAAGGCTGCAGTGAGCCATGATTGTGCCACTGCACTCCAGCCTGGGCAACAGAGCAAAACTCCATCTCAAAAAAAAAAAAAAAGAAAAGAAAAAAGAAAGAGACAGATGCAGTGTCACTGGTTTGTGTGTGTGTGTGTGTGTATAAATATATACATATTATATATATAGTTGGAGTCTTGCCCTGTTACCCAGGCTGGAATGCAATGACGCAATCTCGGCTCACTGCAACTTCCGACTCCCGGGTTCAAGCAATTCTCCTGCCTCACCCTCCTGAGTAACTGGAATTACAGGTGTGAGCCACCATGCCCAGCTAATTTTTTGTATCTTTAGTAGAGACGGGGTTCCACCATGTTGGCCAGGCTGGTCTCGAACTCCTGACCTTGTGATCCACCTGCCTCGGCCTCCCAAAGTGCTGGGATTACAGGTTGGAGCCACTGGGCCCGGCCTGGTTTTTATATTTTCAAAGGGTTAGAAAAAAATCAAAAGAAAAATAATATTTCACGACATGTGAAAATGATATGACAGTTACGTATCAGTGCCGGTAAATAAAGTTTTATTGGCACACAGTCAGCCCCACTGATGCGCCTGTTAAATAAAGTTTTATTGGCACACAGTCAGCCCCACTGATGCGCCTGTTATCTGCGGCTGCTTGGCACTGCAACGGCAGAGTCAAGTGTTTGCATCAAGCCAAACACATTTACTATCTGTTGCTTTGCAGAAAACGTTTGCCAACGGCTGCTCTAAAGCATTGGAAGATAACATATTCATATTTACTATTTCTAGACGCTTGAAAACCTAGAATCTTGGCAGATCCGTCTTAGACTCTTAGAATTCCACAATCTCCAAAGCTTATAATTGTAGAATTATAGATGCATTGCGTTTACAGTTTCAAAATCTGCATTTGTTTAACTCTTGTTTAAAAAAGAGAGTTGGTAATACTTTGTTTTTGTTTTTTTGAGACAGAGACTCGCTCCATCACCCAGGCTGGAGTGCTGTGGTGTGAGTGATCTCAGCTCACTGCAACCTCCACTTCCTGGGTTCAAGCAATTCTCCTGCCTCAGCCTCCCAAGTAGCTGGGATTACAGGTGTGCACCACCACACCTGGCTAATTTTTTGTATTTTTAGTAGAGACAGGGTTTCACTGTGTTGGCCAAGCTGGTCTTGAACTCCTGACTTCAGGTGATCCACCCCCCTCGGCCTCCCAAAGTGCTGGGATTGCAGGCATGAGCCACCGAGCCCAGACTCACTAATTTTTAAATTTTTTGTAGAGAAGGGATCTTGCTAGCCAGGAACAATGGCTTACACCTGTAATCCCAGCACTTTGGGAAGATGAGGCAGGCGTATCACTTGAGATCAGGAGCTTGAGACCAACCTGACTAACATGGTGAAACCCTGTCTGTACTAAAAATACAAAAATTAGTCAGACGTGGTAGAACACACACTTGTAATTCCAGGTAGTCAGGAGGCAGAGACTGGAGAGTCACTTGAACCCAGGAGGCAGAGGTTGCAGTGAGTTGAGATTGTGCCATTGCACTCCAGCCTGGGTGACAGAGTGAGACTCTGTCTCAAAAAAAAAAAAAAAAAAAAGAGAGAGAGAGAGAGAAGGGGTCCTGCTGTGTTTCCCAGGCTGGTGAAACATGTAACATACCTGCCTCAGCCTTCCAAAATGCCAGGATTACAGGCATGACCCATTGTGCCTGGAATGGAGTGGAATTTTAAGTGGTAAAAGCAAGCCAGGTGTGGTGAGGATGTCTGTAATCGCACCTACTTGGGGGGCTGAGCTGAGGTGGGAGGATTGCTTGAGCCAGGAGTTAGAAACCAGCTCAGGCAGCATAGTGAGACCCCCATCTCTTAACGAAATAAAAAAAAGGCCAGGCATGGTGGCTCGTGTCTATAATCCCAGCACTTTGGGAGGCTGAAGCAGGCAGATCACTGGAGACTCTTAGAATTCCACAATCTCCAAAGCTTGTAATCGTAGACTCATAGATGAATTGCATTTACAGAGTTTCAAAATATGGAGAAAACTGTCTCTACTAAAAATACAAAATTAGCCGGGTGTGGTGGCACATGCCTGTAATCCCAGCTACTTGGGAGGCTGAGAATCGCTTGAACCAGGGAGGCGGAGGTTGCAGCGAGCTGAGGTCGTGACACTGCACTTCAGCCTGGGTGAAAGAGCAAGACTCCATCTAAAAAAAAAAAAAAGTGGCTTAGCAATTCTGCCACTTTTTGTCATAAAACATGGGTTAGAACAAGCACCTTTATCCATATGCGGATTATTTCTAGAGAAACATCACAGTGATAATTGGGGACTTCTAGGCTGGAGGGCCCATATATGGGAGGCTTTTTCCTGGCTTACCCCTTACAACTTTCTGAAATATGAACCAAGTGTAAATAGTACCTATTTTAAAAGTTAAAAATGGGCCAGGCATGGTGGCTCACGCCTGTAATCCCAGCACTTTGGGAGGCCAAGGCAGGTGGATCACTTGAGGTAGGGAGTTCAAGACCAGCCTGACCAATATGGAGAAACCCTGTCTCTATGAAAAATACAAAATTAACCGGGCATGGTGGTGCATGCCTGTAATCCCAGCTATTCGCGAAGCTGAGGCAGGAGAACTGCTTGAACGTGGAAGTTGGAGGTTGTGGTGAGCCGAATTGTCCCACTGCGCTCCAGCCTGAGAGAGCAAAACTCCATCTCAAAAAAAAAAAAAAAAAGTTAAAAATGGGCCAAGGTGGGCAGATCACAAGGTCAGGAGTTTGAGACCAGCCTGACCAACATGGTGAGCCCTCTTCTCTCAAATAAATAAATAAATAAAATTTTAAAATAAAAGTTGGGCCGGGCGCGGTGGCTCAAGCCTGTAATCCCAGCACTTTGGGAGGCCGAGACGGGTGGATCATGAGGTTGAGAGATCGAGACCATCCTGGTCAACGTGGTGAAACCCCGTCTCTACTAAAAATACAAAAAATTAGCTGGGTGTGATGGTGGGTGCCTGTCATCGAAGCTACTCTCGAGGCTGAGGAAGGAGAATCGCTTGAACCCAGGACGGGGAGGTTGCAGTGAGCCGAGATTGTGGCACTGCAGCCTGGGCAACAAGAGCAAAACTCCATCTCAAAAAACAAAAAGCAAAACACACACACACACACACACACACACACACACACACACAGAAAAAGACTGCACCTGGCATCGCATGGAGTGTTTGTGAGGTCAGGAGTTTCCCGGTCTGCCCATGGTCTCCCCTCCTCCCCCTGCAGTGCAAGGAGGAAGTGGTGGGCACCTTGGATGCTGTGCAGGTACTCTCGGGGGTCAGCCAGCTCCTTCCCAAGTCCCGCGAGAACTACCTGAACCGTTGCATGGACCAGGAGCGGCTGCGGAGGGAGAGCACCAGCCAGAAGGAGATGGACAAGGTGTGCTGACGGGGGGGTGAGGGGGTGGTCTGAGGAATTTGCTGCGGGGCAGAGGGGCAGCCTGATCAGAGAGTGGAAAACGTGGCAGAGCGATGGTGGTGGAACCTGTGGGTGATTGCACCCTGGGTACCCGGAGGAGACCTACGAGGTGATGGGCCCTTGTGGAAGCCCCCGGAGTGTTCCCCTCCCATCCCTGTTTCCTCCCTGTGCTTCCTAGGCAGAGGCTAAAACCAAGAAGGCGGCAGAGAGCCTGCGGCGCTCAGTGGAAAAATACAACTCAGCCCGAGCTGACTTTGAGCAGAAAATGCTGGACTCGGCCCTGGTAAGGACTAGCCATCTGTAGCTTTACGACCCATATATGCCTTTGCCCAGGAGGTTATGGGCTGCAGAAATCCCAGGCCAGTGCAGTGGCACACGCCTGTAATTCCAGCACTTTGGGAGGCCGAGACAGGAGGATCACTGAGGTCAGGAGTTTGAGACCAGCCCGGCCAACATGGGGAAACCTCATCTCTATTAAAAATACAACATTAGCCAGGCGCGGTGGCTCACGCCTGTAATCCCAGCACTTTGGGAGGCCAAGGTGGGCGGATCATAAGGTCAGGAGTTCGAGACCAGCCTGACCAACATGGGGAAACCCCGTATCTACTAAAAATACAAAAATTAGCTGGGTGTGGCAGCACGTGCCTATAATTTCAGCTACTCAGGAGGCTGAGGCAGGAGAATCACTTGAACCTGGGAGACGGAGGTTGCAGTGAGCCGAGATTGAGCCACTGCACTTCAGCCTGGGCGACAGAGCAAGACTCCGTCTCAAAAAAACAAAAAACAAACCGTTAGCCAGGCGTGTTGGCACCAGCCTGTAATCCCAGCTACTCAGGAGGCTGAGGTGCAAGAATCACTGGAACCTGGAAGGCAGAGTTTGCAGTGAGCCAAGATCATGCCACTGCACTCCAGCCTGGGCGATAGAGTGGAACTCTGCCTCAGAAAAAATCAAAATAAATACATAAAAGTAGACTGGAATCTCAGTATTAGGAATCAGAATTTTTGTCAAGTTCCAAGTGATAGAAACCTTCATGCAAATTGACAAAGTATATAAATACATAAAACAAATTCTAGAAACTGACAAGGTGATTTATAAGCTGAGGGGTCTGGAAGTTTTATTTTTGAGGGTAGAGGTTTCAGGCGAAGCTGAATCCAGGTGCTCAAATAGCACTGGCAAGAAATTGTGCATTTCTGTTTCTTTTTTTCTTTCTTTTCTTTTAAAGACGGGGTTTCACCATGATGGCCAGTCTGGTCTTGAACTCCTGACCTCAGGTGATCCACCTACCTCGGCCTCCCAAAGTGCTAGGATTACAGGCGTGAGCCACCATGCCCGGCCCTTTTTTTTTTTTTAAATTGAGATAGAGTCTCTCTCTGTCACCCATGCTGGAGTGCAGTGCCACAATCTTGGCCCACTGCAGCCTCCACCTCCTGGGCTCAAGCAATTCTCCTGCCTCAGTCTCTTGAGTAGTTGGGATTACAGGTGCGTGCCACCACATTGAGCTGATTTTTGTATTTTTAGAGACGGGGTTTCACCATGTTGCCCAGGCTGGTCTTGAACTCCTGACTTGAAGTGATCTGCCTGCCTTAGCCTCCCAAAGTATTGGGATTACAGGCATGAGCCACTGTGCCTGGCCATTTCTGCTTCCTTGTGTGTGTGTGTGTGTGGTGGCGGGGGAAGGAGAATTTCGTTCTGTTGCCCTGGAGTGCGATGGCACGGTCTCAGCTCACTGCAACCTCTGCCTCCCAGGTTCAAGCAATTCTCCTGCCTCAGCTTCCTGAGTAGCTGGGATTACAGGTGTTTGCCACCACGCCTGGCTATTTTTTGTGTTTTTAGTAGAGATGGGGTTTCACCATGTTGGCCAGGCTGGTCTTGAACTCCTGACCTCAAATAATCTGCCCCCCTCAGTCTCCCAAATGCTGGGATTACAGGCGTGAGAACCACACCTGGTCACCATTTCTGCTTTTTAAGTCTGTTCTCCTCTCTGGGGACATCACTCCCAGCAGACATGCTAGGGTGTGTGTGTGTGTGTGTGTGTGTGTGTGTGCGCGCGCGCGCGCGCGCGCATTGCATGCACATGTGTGCAGCAAAGTGGCCACCAGCAACCCCCACTTACATCCCATCAGCTCATTGGCTCGGGAATGAAAGTGTCTTTTCCTATAGATTCAGCAAAAGTCCTAGGGCAGACTCTCATTGGCCTTTCCCCAAATCATTCACGGAACCAGGGGCTTAGGGTGTTCTGACTGGTCAGGCTGAGTCACCTGGCCATTCCTACTTGGCCCTGACCTTCTTTCCACCTGCCTCTCCCCTCCTGCTTCAGCGCTTCCAAGCCATGGAGGAGACGCACCTGAGGCACATGAAGGCACTGCTGGGCTCCTATGCTCACTCGGTGGAGGACACGCATGTGCAGATCGGGCAGGTGAGTCAGGGCAGGAGTGAGGAATGAGGCTGGGGTCGCTGCTGGGCGAGGGGGCCCTGATCAGTTACACGCCCTGCCCACCTGGCACAGGTGCATGAGGAATTTAAGCAGAACATTGAGAACGTCAGCGTGGAGATGCTACTCAGGAAGTTTGCAGAGAGTAAGGGCACCGGCCGGGAGAAGCCAGGTGAGTCAGGGCAGCCATCGGGGATTGGGCTGTGGGGCTGCAGGTGACGGGCAGGACTCCGAACCTCCCTGGGCCTTGGTTTCTTCATGGGAAAAATGGGCTGCTCAGGAGTCCAGCTCTTCAGCCTGATCTTACCTGTAAATTTCTTTGAACCAGATCCCAGAGGAGCCTTGAATGCCAGGCTCAGCTGATCTGACTTCACCCCTCAGGACCTAAGGGAGCCATTGAGGGTTGTAGAGCAAAAGAACAATTTGCAAATGCTTAGATGCAGCACTGGGGAGGAGTTCAGAGCAAAAGTTTTGCCAGGCACGGTGACTCACGCCTGTAATCCCAGCACTTTGGGAGACTGAGGAGGGCAGATCACGAGGTCAGGAGATCGATACCATCCTGGCTAACATGGTGAAATGCTGTCTCTACTAAAAATACAAAAAATTAGCTGGGCTCGGTGGCACACGCCTGTAATCCCAGCTACTTACTTGGGAGGCTGAGGCAGGAGAATTGCTTGAACCCAGGAGGTGGAGGTTGCAGTGAGCTGAGATCACACCACTGCACTCCAGCCTGGGTGACAGAGCAAGACTCTGCCTCAAAAAAAAAAAAAAAAGAAGAAGAAGAAAGAAAGAAAGAAAAAGAAACTCAATTGAGGGTGGGCAGACTGGCTAAATTTTTTTTTTGAGATGGAGTCTTGCTGCCTCGCCCAGGCTAGAGTGAAGTGGCATGATCTTGGCTCACTGCAGCCTCTGCCTCCCAGGTTTAAGTAAGTCTCCTGCCTCAGCCTCCCTAGTGGATAGGACTACAGGAGTGCACCACCATGCCTGGCTAATTTCTTTTGTATTTTAGTAGAGACGGGGTTTCACCATGTTGCCAAGGCTGGTCACAAACTCCTGAGCTCAGGCAATCCATCTGTCTCGGCCTCCCAAAGTGCTGGGAATACAGGCATGAGCCACTAAGCCCAGCCAATTCTTTTATATTTTTAGTAGAAACAGGATTTCACCACGTTGGTCAGGCTGGTCTCAAACTCCTGACTGCAGGTGATCTGCCCTGGCCTCCTAAAGCTGGGATTACAGGCATGAGCCATTGCGCCTGGCCCCTCAATTGAGTTTCTGTCTCCCATCTCAGGACCTCTAGACTTCGAGGCCTACAGTGCGGCTGCCCTGCAGGAAGGCAAGTACGTCTGGGCCTGGATGCCCAGGCTGGACCGTGGGGCTGAGGGAGGCTGATCTGAAGTGAAAGGAGGCACCTCCCAGTGCTCAGCTGCTCCCCGTTCTATCCTCAGCAATGAAACGTTTGCGGGGCGCCAAGGCCTTCCGCCTTCCCGGACTGAGCCGGCGGGAGCGGGAGCCGGAGCCACCTGCAGCTGTGTGAGGAAGCACCCTTGCCAGGCCTGGCCCAGGCTAGCCCAGAAGCCCTCTCCTAGGATAGCCCAGGAGTATCCATATTCCAGGCTATCCCAGGAATCCCTCCACCCAAGGCAGACCAGGAGTGCCTCTGGCCCAGGCTAGCTCACTATTACCGCTGCCAAGGCTAGTCCAGAATTCCTCCTTTTGCCAGTTTAGGCCCAGAACTACCTGTCCCAGAGTAGCCTAGCCTTTTCCCTGCCCAAGCTGGCCCAGGATTGGTCTGTCCGTTTGCCAAGGCTAGCCCCCTACTTTCCCTACCTTCATAGGGCAGCCCTTCAAATTAGTTCCAGGATTTCTTCCCTCCCAGGCTGTTTGAGAACACCCTCTTCTCAGCTAACCAGATTCAACCCCCTCCCCACACAAGCCCCGGGGTCCCACTGCCTCCAGGGCTAGCTCCGGGCAATATCACAGCCCGGGAGCTGCCCCAGCTTCCATGTCCAGTGGAGGGGGGACTAGATGGGCTGCAGAAGCTGACAGCAACATCTCTTCCTCCATCCCCAGAGATTTCCCGGAACCCGATTCAGGGGTGAGTGACGTGGGAGGGGTCAGGCTGGGCTGCAATCGGGAGGAGTCTGTACTCTTGGCTCTTAAAGTTCAGATCTTTACTGGAAACTAAAGAGCTGGGATTGAGGGGCGGGCTGGAGGTGGCACAGCCTGGGGGCTGGGTTCAAATCCCACCTCAGCTGCAAAGTCCTGTGGACCACGTGGGTAGGGATAACGTCCCTGCCGAAGCTCAGTTTATCCCAGGAACCTGCCAACACACCAGGGAAAGACAGTTGTTGCCATCAGGGTGGTTTTGAGGTCTGAGTCAGAGCCTGGGGGCAGGGCGGTTGGCAGGGTGAGAGGGAAGGTTTGATGCCCCGTAACCTGACACCGCTGCCCATCCCCCCGACTCACCTAGACATGTCCAGAGGTGGATGATGAAGGTTTCACTGTCCGGCCCGACGTGACCCAGAACAATATCCTTCTGGCAGCCCCTGGGGACAGTTGTTGGCACAGCAAGGACAATAATCAGTCCACTTTCAGCAATCTTCTCTACATCCTGGAGAGAATCTCCCCTGTGGATGAAGCCAACCTAAATGCAGTCACCCACTCCATGGGGTCAGCGTTGGGAAAGAGGGAGAGAGAAGAGGAGAGCCAGCAGGGCTTCCTGGAGGAGGGGGCACCAGTGTTGGGGTTTTGCAGTGGAATAGGAGTTTGCCAGTTAGGGCTGGGCAGGCTTGTGCAAAGGCTTGATGGTGGGGTGGGTGTCAGGACTTAGGTGGCAAGTGGTGAGCGATGGGATTGTGCATGACCTCCAAGGGTGTGAGCAGGGAGAGATGAAGCTGAGTTGGAGAACTGATGGGGGCGGGGGAAGCTTGTGTTGGGATTGGGTTGGACCTTGACTGCAGCCCACGCATGGCCGAGCCCTCCCGTTTCTCATCCAGCGACTCCGACTTCGACGATGAAGAGCCCCGCAAGTTCTACGTGCACATCAAGCCTGCCCCGGCCCGGGCTCCAGCCTGCAGCTCCGAGGCCGCAGCGGCACAGCTCAGGGCCACCGCCGGCAGCCTCATCCTTCCTCCCGGCCCTGGGGTGAGGCGTGGGAGGGGTGCCCTGGGTGGTGCTGGCGAGGCTGGCTGGATGCCCTTGTATGTGATGTTGTCCCCTTTGTCCACAGGGCACCATGAAACGCCATTCTTCACGTGAGTAGCCTTCAGTCTTGAGAGTGGGGAGGATGCTAAGGCAGGGAGGCTGTGGGCGTGGACTTGAATCATATCTCTGTTGTGTGACTCGGGTCAGGCTGCTTAACCACTCTGATCTTCAGCCTCCTTTTCTGTAAAAGGAGGTCATTCTGAAATTAGATGAGAGCTGAAAGGGGTAGCTGGGGCCAGGCGGAGCCGACGTCTGGAGACAGACTGACTCAGGCTTAAATCTGCGTCTGCCTGATTTGCCGATCACCTTGGGCAACTGGATGGCGCCGAACCTCGGTCCCCTGGCCTGTGGACTGGGAAGCATTGCAGACTCAAAGAGGTGCATCTCTTTTAGGGGATGCTGCTGGGAAACCCCAGAGACCACGGTCTGCCCCCAGAACTGGCAGGTGGGTTCCACATGAGTGGGCAGGTGGGGGCTGTCCCCACCTCCTCTCTCCACCTCCCCATATCTCTGCCTGGTGTTGTCTTGTCCTGACTGGGAGTTGAAGTCACACTGGGGTTTTTTTGTTTTTTGAGAGGGAGTCTCTGTCACCCAGGCTGGAGTGCAGTGCAGTGGTGCGATCTCGGCTCACTGCAACCTCTGCCTCTCAGGTTCAAGCAATTCTCCTGCCACAGCCTCCTGAGTAGCTGGGATTACAGGTGTAATCTCGCCACCACCCCAGCTAATTTTTGTATTTTTAGTAGAGACAGGGTTTCACCATGTTGGCCAGGCTGGTCTCGAACTCCTGACCTCAAGTGATCTGCCCACCTTGGCCTCCCAAAGTGCTGGGATTACAGGTGTGAGCCATTGCACTTGGCCTATGCTGGCTTTTGAGGGACCATTTAGTCACTCATTTGATGAACATTTATTGAGTGCCTGCTGTGTACCTGTGCTGTTCTAGAGCCTGGGTTCTGAGACAGGTCTCCCTTCTCAGGGTCACATTCTAGCAAATAAGGCTGGGTGTGGTGGCTCACGCCTGTAATCCCAGCACTTTGGGAGGCCAAGGTGGGTGGATCACCTGAGGTTAGTAGTTCAAGACTAGCCTGGCCAACATGGAGAAACACCATCTCTACTAAAAATACAAAATTAGTTGGGTGTAGTGGTGCATACCTGTAATCCCAGCTACTTGGGAGGCTGAGGCAGGAGAATCACTTGAACTCAGGAGGCGGAGGTTGTGGTGGGCCAAGATTGCGCCACTGCACTCCTGCCTAGGCAGCAAGAGTGAAATTCTATTTTAAAAAAGCAAGTAAGTTAGAGCACATTTGATACTTCTAAGTGCTATGAAGAAACTAAAGCCGACGACGTGAAGAAAGGAGGAAGTGACTTTGCTTGCGGTGGGGATGGGATCCTCCCGGAGGGAATGACTTGGAGCTAAGCCCCGCAGAGGAGCCAGGAGGTGGCTATGAAGAGAGCTGAGGGAATGGAACTCCAGACTGGGAACAGGCTGGGCACAGTAACTCACACCTGTAAGCCCAGGACTTTGGGAAGCCAAAGCAGGCTGTTCATTTAAGGTCAGGAGTTCGAGACCAGCCTGGCCAAGATGGTGAAACCCCATCTGTACTAAAAATACAATATTAGCCAGGTGTGGTGGCAGGCGCTGTAATCCCAGCTATTCAGGAGGCTGAGGCAGGAGAATCACTTGAACCAGGGAGGCGGAGGTTGCAGTGAGCTGAGATCGGGCTACTGGGCTCCAGCCTGGGTGACAGAGTGAGACTCTGCCTTAAAAAAAAATGGTGGGGACAGCAATGTGCAAAGGCCCCAGGGTGGGATGAGGCTTGGGAAAAATAGAAGCAGCCCTCTTGGCCTCCTTTCTAGCTGTGCAGAGAAATTGCAGTCAGAGGAGCAGGTGTCCAAGAACCTGTTTGGGCCACCCCTGGAGTCAGCCTTTGACCACGAAGATTTTACAGGTGATGGGGATAAGGGATTGGAGGGCATGGGTGTGGCCAGAGGGAAGATGGGTGGGGCCGTTGCAAAGCCAGGCCGCTCATGTCCGCGGGAGGACAGGCCAGGCTGGAGGGAAGGCTAGCCCCTGTAAGGGTGGGCGGGGCCGGAGTGGAGGTGGGAGGGGCCATAGAGAGGGCGGGGCCCTGGGCAGTGGGCGGTGACTGGGTGGATGGGCCGGGCATTTTTGGAGAGGGAAGTCGCCAGAAGGCGTGGCCTCGGGGGCTTGCACAAGGACTGAATGGGGGCCCCCCAGACCTTTCCTCGACGTTGCTGTAGCCTGCAGGAGGATGGGCGGGGACTCCAAGTGGGCGAGGGTCTGAGCTGACCGCCCCTTCCCTCCCCAAGGCTCTAGCAGCCTGGGCTTCACCTCCAGCCCCTCCCCTTTCTCCTCCTCGTCGCCCGAAAATGTGGAGGATTCCGGCCTGGACTCTCCGTCCCACGCGGCACCTGGCCCCTCCCCAGATTCCTGGGTCCCCCGCCCAGGCACGCCGCAGAGCCCGCCCAGCTGTAGGGCGCCACCCCTAGAGGCCAGGGGTATCCGGGCACCGCCTCTGCCAGACTCGCCGCAGCCCCTCGCCCCCTCTCCAGGGCCCTGGGGGCTGGAGGCCTTGGCTGGAGGAGGTGAGTCCAGCGGGCCTGGGCCTGAGAGTTGCTGGAACCCTGGGCCGGGGATTGAAGGCCTGCTGTGGGCAGGGCCTGATCCGGCTGCTGGAGACACAGCCAGGATCAGGAGGGCAGAACCTCCCACCCTTGCGGGGACAACAATGAGATGGACATTTAGCAAGGCAGGTGGTAGCGGGTGCCAGCTGGGGTCCCTCGCTGAGGAAGGGACATCTGAGCTGCGATTTCAGGGATGTGAGGACAGAACCACGTGGACATGAGGGGAAAGACGTGATGGGCAGAGGGCACAGCCCTAGCGCAGGAACGCGCTAGGCTTGTCTGAAGAACAGCAAGGAGGTCGGCCTGCTGGAATGGGGTGATGGGGGGAGGAGGAGGGAGAGAGTGGGGGTGTCGGCAGGGAAACGGGACCAGGCAGGGCCTGATGGGCCCGGGGAGGCCTTGTGAGTATCGCCCTGAGTAACGATGAGGGCCATGAGCAGGGAGAGGGGTGGGACCTGACTCAGGTCACAGGCTCCTTGGGCAGCTTTGGGAGTTAGGGCAGAAACCAGAGATGGGAGGCAACCAGGGAGGCAAGTGGGTGATGGGAGTAAGGGTGGCAGAGGGAGAAACTGGTGGACAGGTCACTGCAGGGAGAGGGTGGAGTAAGGGGAGGAGTCAAGGGAGGGTGGAGGATGAGGAAGGGGCGGGATCAAGAGGGAAGAGGATGGGGAAGGGGTGGAGTCGGACGGAGGAGGTTTGGGGAAGGGGCGGAGTCAAGGGACGGAGGAGGTTGGGGAAGAGCGGAGTCAAGGGAGGGAGGAGGATGGGGAAGGGGCGGGGTCAAGGGAGGGACAAGGATGGGGAAGGGGTGGAGTCAAGGGGGATGTTGAGTCTGGGCCTTTAGGTGTCAGGTGGACAATGGACCCCGAGTTTGGGGAAGGTCAGGTCAGAGTACCCCTCTTTGAAGACGTCGTCAAAACACGGCCGCCCAAGGAGAGCAGAAGAGAGGACAGAGCCAGTGAGCGGGCGGGCCTGGAGGGAGGAGGCCAGTAGGAGGTGGGGGGAGAGCGTCGGGGTGGGCTCCTGGGGGCTGCGTGAGGAGAGTGGGAAGCCCCCGAGTCAGAGGGACGATGGGCTGTGACCATCTGAGGTCCCCAGCAGTGCCGACAAGGGCGCTTGGCACCCTCCTTAGGAAAAGGCATGGCTGGAGCCGGTTCAAGGGAGAGCCGAGGTGGGCGGAGGCCACAGAGTGACAGCAGAAGCAGCTTTTTTTTTTTTTTTTCTTTTTAAATCGGAGTTTTGCTCTTGTCGCCGAGGCTGGAGTGCAGTGGTGCGATCTCAGCTCACTGCAACCTCCCCTTCCCGGGTTCAAGAGGTTTTCTGCCTCAGCCTCCCCAGTAGCTGGGATTACAGGCGCCCGCCACCACGCCCCGCTAATTTTTGTATTTTTAGTAGAGACAGGGTTTCACCGGGTTGGCCAGGCTGGTCTCGAACTCCTGACCACTGGTGATCTGCCTGCCTCAACCTCCCAAAGTGTTGGGATTAGAGGCGTGAGCCACCATGCTCCGCCTGAGCAGAGGGTCTTATCCAACCCGGCCAATTCTGCCCCCAGGGGGCATTGTCAGTGTCTAGAGACATTTTTGGTTGTCACCACCAGGCAGGGGTGTGCTCCCGGCTTCAGTGGGTGGAGGCTGGGGTTGCTGCTCAGCACCCTGCAGTGCACAGGGCAGCCTCCACCCCCCGAGAATGGTTCAGCCCCCAGATGTCCACAGTGCTGACTGAGAAAGTAGGGTAGAGGGGGGAGCACAGCCTGCGGTGCAGGGAGGTAGGTGGGAGAGGAGGTAGGCAAGCGAGTGAGCATGTTCATAGATGGAACAGAAAACTAGGACCCCAAGGAAGCAGGAGAGGGAGGGGAGCTTGGGTGTTATAAACTCGTGGAACTCAGACACAGGCCACCGTAGGTGGCTGTGGTCAGGTTCTCAGAGAGGATGGAGATCACAGAATGGGTGAATGTTGGCTAAAAATCCTCTGCTGAACCCTACAGCATGCCTGCCTCCTAAGCCTTCAGTGCTTGCTTGCATACCCCCAGTGACGGGGAGCTCACCCCTTATTCAGCCACCATTCTGGTGTCTGGGAGGTTCAGGGGTATGGATGGTACCTGCAGTCCTGTCTGGCACCTTTTCTGCAGCCCCAGGATTTCAGACCCATCGGGGGTCTCCACAGAAAAGCCCACCTCCTAGATTTTGGCTGAGTTCGTGCCCCTGGGAAGGCCTCAGAGGCCCCAGGCAGCATCTCAGCAGTGCCTCTGTGCAATCGCTCCCAGACCTGATGCCCGCACCTGCTGACCCCACAGCCAGGGAGGGCCTGGCAGCCCCACCCAGGAGACTTCGCTCTAGGAAGGTGTCCTGCCCTCTCACACGCAGCAACGGGGACCTGGTAGGTGAGGGGCCTGGCAGGAGCTGGGCTGTGGGGCGCCTCTGGGGTCAGCTTTGGGCACCGCTCCTGGGAACCCACAGCCCAGCTTGTCTCTTTCCCTTCCAGTCTCGTTCCCTGAGCCCTTCCCCACTGGGCTCTTCGGCCCCCAGCACTGGCCCAGAACGGCCCTGCTTCTCATCCCAGACAGGACACGGTACGTGAGGGTGGGCCTGGGCCCTGCCTTGGGCCTCAGTCTCACCTTCTGTGGTTCGGGTGGGTAGCTTCTCTGTTGGCACAGGTGTGGTGGGGCGGAGGTGGGGGCGGGTCTCGAGCCTGAGGCCTCTCTTCACCCCGTCTTTCTGTCCCCCATTCCCTCCCCGCCACCCCCAGGAGTCTCCCGGGGTCCGAGCCCTGTGGTCCTGGGCTCCCAGGATGCCCTGCCGGTAGCCACAGCCTTCACGGAGTATGTCCACGCCTACTTCCGTGGCCACAGCCCCAGGTACACGGTAATGGGCAGACAGGGCCCGTGGGGGGTCTGTGTTGGGGGGCATCCAGCAGGGACAGCTTTCAGATGTGCTTCATGGCCTGTCTTATGATGAAACGCCTTAAACACTGAGCCAAGTGACCAGGCCCCCATGTCCATGTCCTAAGGGCAATGGAGCCAGGGAGGGCCTTTTTTTTTTTTTGAGATAGACTTTCACTCTTGTCGCCCAGGCTGGAGTGTAGTGGCATGATCTCAGTTCACCACAACCTCTGCCTCCCGGGTTCAAGTGATTCTCCTGCCTCAGCCTCCCACGTAGCTGGAACTACAGGTGCCCACCAACGCAGCTGACTCAATTTTTAAATTTTTTGTTTGTTTTGAGACAGGGTCTCACTCTGTCGCTCAGGCTGGAGTGCAGTGGCGTGATCTCAGCTCACTGCCACCTCTGCCTCCTGGGTTCAAGCGATTCTCCTGCCTCAGCCTCCCAAGGAGCTGAGATTACAGGCACCAACCACCACGCCCAGCTAATTTTGTATTTTTAGTAGAGACAGGGTTTCACCGTGTTGGCCAGGCTGGTCTTGAACTCCTGACTTCAAGTGATCAGCTCGTCTCAGCCTTCCAAAGTGCTGGGATTACAGGCATGAGCCGCCACACCTGGCCATAGGAGGGCATTTGAGCAGGGCTAGGCATTACTGTAGTCTCGAGGCTGCCATGTGCATTTCAATGAAGAGACCAAGACTAGTTAGTCGCAGTAACGGGGGTTAGAAGGTGGGTTAGGGAAAAGCAGAGGGGCCAAGGATATATACTAGGATGGCCTTCAGCAAAAAAGATCTGAAAGTCAAACCAGGAAGAAGAGGTGAGTGTCAGATCGAAAACCCAAGCAGACAACAGCTAAAAAACTGAACATTTTAATTTGAGCTTCCTGGTGGCCTAGGAGAAAAGAGCTAGGGAAGGAGATGTTCCTGCCTCCTTCAGCCCAGGGTGGATTCTTCCTGTCTAGGCAGGAACAAAAGAGGAGGAAGTTAGGGCAAAGGACATGGGGCATCCTCAGGGCCATCCTAGATCCAAGGGGTCTGGGGAGCCACAGGCAGCAGTGGAACCAGGAGCAGGGGAGGATGAGACACCAGGCAGAGCTCTAAGCCAACGCCCAGTCCCTCTACCCTCCCCAGCTGCCTGGCTCGAGTAACTGGGGAGCTGACCATGACCTTCCCTGCTGGCATCGTGCGTGTGTTCAGCGGGACCCCGCCCCCACCTGTCCTCAGCTTCCGGCTTGTACACACGGCTCCTATAGAACACTTCCAACCCAATGCCGAGCTGCTCTTCAGGTACAGCAGATGGGAGGTGGGAGAGGGCCACAGAGGCTACTGGGGTCAGGGGCTTCTGGGCTCTGAATTCCCTCTCTGCCCCTGGGATTTTTTTTTTTTTTTTTTTTTTTGAGACAGAGTCTCGCTCTGTTGCCCCAGCTGGAGTGCAATGGTGAGATCTCAGCTCACTGCAACCTCCGCCTCCTGGGTTCAAGCGATTCTTCTGCCTCAGCCTCCCGAGTAGCTGGGATTACAGGCGTGCGCCACCACACCCAGCTAATTTTTGTATTTTTAGTAGAGACAGGGTTTCACCATGTTGGTCACACTGTCTCAAACTCCCGACCTTGTGATCTGCCCGCCTGGGCCTCCCAAAGTGCAGGGATTACAGGTGTGAGTCACAGCGCTCAGCAGCCTCCTTGGATTTGCTGTGTGGCCTGGGGCAAGTAACTTGCCCTCTCTGACCCTGGTTTTCCATCCCTCTTTTACTGCCCCCACCACTGCCACCCAGGTAGGGCTTTGGTGGGCCAGGAAACGGCATCTTTAGGAAGTGCTTGGGGTAGTTTGATGTTGAGAGCCCTGGGAGGGCATCTCCTAGGGTTGGGGTGATCAGTCCCGGTCTCTGCAGTGACCCCTCCCAGAGTGACCCTGAGACCAAAGACTTCTGGCTCAATATGGCAGCTCTGACCGAGGCCCTGCAGCGCCAGGCAGAGCAGAACCCCACCGCCTCCTACTACAACGTGGTGCTGCTGCGATACCAGGTACGCCACGCACACGGGCCGGGAGCAGGTGGAGTGGGGTGGGGTGAGCAGCCGACTTGGAAGTGCCTGCATGTTGGCCAAGCTGGTCTCGAACACCAACCTGTGAGAGCCGATGAGCTGGAGTGTGTAGGCAGGGTGGGTTGGGAACGAACGGTGGATGGAGTCAGGGTGGGAGGGCGTGTGTCCCCTGTGGCAGATACCTTCATTATGTGAACTAGAAGAGGCCCAGCCAGGGAACCTTGCCCTTGAACTTCCTTGGGAGACTTTTCTTAGAACGATGTGCTCTCCTGCCCCCTGCTGGAAACCTGGTGTAATACAGCCTCTCATCCGTCAAATCTCCCTGTGACTGGGCTGTCTTGGGGCAGGGTGTGCGTGCATCGCGGGGTCAAGGTGGTTGAATAGGGCGTGTGTGGCAAGACGAGATGGCCCAAACCATGTGCTCTCTCCTGTTCTGATTCCTCGTAGTTCTCCCGCCCGGGTCCCCAGTCTGTGCCTCTGCAGCTCAGTGCCCACTGGCAGTGTGGGGCCACCCTCACCCAGGTCTCGGTGGACTATGGCTACCGGCCCGGTGCCACAGCTGTGCCCACACCACTCACGAACGTCCAGATCCTGCTGCCCGTGGGGGAGCCTGTGACCAACGTCCGCCTGCAGCCAGCCGCCACCTGGTGAGGGCGTGCGGGAGGCCAAGGAAAACTCAGCAGTTTCCCCCATAAGCCCAGACCTTCCTCTTGATGACGGTTAAAGGGTGCACTCTGGGCCCGACCCTTCACTGGTGATTCCACCCTGCTTAGCACTGAGGGTGATGTTATGAGGGCCAGGTGCCGTGGGTCATGCCTGTATTTGCAATGCTTTGGGAGGCTGAGATGGGAGGTTCACTTAAGGCCAGGAGTTTGAGACCAGCCTGGACAATATAGTGAGACCTCATCTCTACAGAAAACATTTTCGTTTTATTAATTTATTTATTTTGAGATGGAGTCTTGCTCTGTCACCCAGGCTGGAGCGCAATGGCGGGATCTCAGCTCACTGCGACCTCCGCCTCCCAGGTTCAAGTGACTCACCTCCCGAGTAGCTGGGATTACAGGTGCCTGCCACCTCACCCAGCTAATTTTTGTATTTTTTTAGTAGAGACAGCATTTCACTATGTTGCCCAGTCTGATCTCGAACCCCTAACCTCAGGTGATCCACCCACCTCAGCCTCCCAAATCCAAAGTACTGGGATTACAGGCATGAGCCACTGCACCCGCCTTCCAAAAAATATTTTAAAAAGTAGTCAGGCTTGGTGGTGTGCTCCTGTAGTCTCAGCGACTTGGGAGGCTGAGGCAGAAGGATCGCTTGAGCCCAGGAGTTGAGGCTGCAGGGACTTAGCCTGGGTGACAACCGTCTCTTTTTTTTTTTTTTTTTTTGAGACAGAGTTTCGCTCTTGTTGCCCAGGCTGGAGTGCAATGGCACCATCTCAGCTCACCGCGACCTCCGCCTCCCAGGTTCAAGTGATTCTCCTGCCTCAGTCTCCCAGGTAGCTGGGATTATAGGCATGTGCCACCACGCCCAGCTAATTTTGTACTTTTAGTAGAGATGGGGTTTCTCCATGTTGGTCGGGCTGGTCTTGAATTCCTGACTTCAGGTGATCCGCCCACCTAGGCCTCCCAAAGTGCTGGGATTACAGGTGTGAGCCACTGTGCCTGGCCAGAACCCTCTCTTAAAAAACAAAGATTAGGCTCTCACCAGCAATCCCAGAACTTTGGAAGGCCGAGGCGGGCGGATTACCTGAGGTCCGGAGTTCGAGACCAGCCTGGTTAATACGGCAAAACCCCATTTCTACTAAAAATACAAAAAATTAGCCAGGCATGGTGGCACATGCCTGTAACCCCAGCTACTCAGGATGCTGAGGCAGGAGAATCGCTTGAATCCGGGAGGCAGAAGAATCGCTTGAATCCGGGAGGCAGAGGTTGCAGTGAGCTGAGATCGCACCATTGTGCTCCAGCTTTGGCAACGAGGGTGAAACTCTGTCTCAAAAAAAAAAAATTAAGAAAAAAAGGTGTGTCTGTTGTAAAGAAGCCAGATTTATAGGACAGAATGCATCTAAAAGTGCTGCAGGGAGGCTGGGCGCGGTGGCTCACACCTGTAATCCCAGCACTTTGGGAGGCCGAGGCGGGTGGATCGCCTGACGTCAGGAGTTTGAGACCAGCTTGGCCAACATGGTGAAACGCCTTATCCACTAAAAACACAAAAATTAGCCAGGCATGGTGGTGGGCTCCTGTAATCCCAGCTACTCAGGAGGCTGAGGCAGGAGAATCGCTTGAACCTGGGAGGCAGAGGTTGAAGGTTTGCTGGGGTCACACAGCCAGGAGGCAGCGGAGCTAGGACCCGGGGCTCTCAGCATCCTCTCTGGAGAAGCCCTGACGGAGACTCTCTCATTGCCAGGAACCTGGAGGAGAAGCGGCTCACATGGAGGCTTCCAGATGTGTCTGAGGCAGGGGGTGAGCTTTGGTTGTGCCTGAGGGCCTGGGGGGAGGGCCTGGGGGGAGGGACTGCGGTCAGGTGGGTGGCCCTTATTTGCACTCGGGTAGAATTGGGGTATATGGGGTTCCGACACGGGCACTGAGGAAGGCTTTGGCAAGCTGGAGGAGGGCTGGGCGGGTGCTCTGCAGTGTTCACTTGAGCCCGGGAGTTGGAGGCTGCAGCGATCAACTCACGATCGCACCGAGGCACTCTAGCCGGGGCAACAGGTGCCAGACTGTGTTCTAAAAAACAAAGCAACCAACAAAAAACGCCGGCGCAGTGGCTCACGCCTGTAGTCCCAGCACTTTGGGAGGCCGAGACGGGTGGATCATTTGAGGTCAGGAGTTCTAGATCAGCCTGGCCAGCATGGTGAAATCCTGTCTTTACTCAAAATACAAAAATTAGCTGGGCATAGTGGCAGGTGCCTGTAATCCCAGCTACGGGAGGCTGAGGCAGGAGGATCACTTGAACCCAAGAGGCAGAGGTGGCAGTGAGCCAAGATAGTGCCACTACACTCCAGCCTGGACGACAAAATGAGACTGTCTCAAAAAAAAAAGCTGGAGGAGGGCACAGTTCTGTAATCCCAGTGCTTTGGGAGGCCCAGATGGGAGGATCACTGGAGCCCAGGAGTTAGAGGCTGCAGTGACCTATCATCGCACCACTACACTTCAGCCTGGGCGACAAAGTCAGACCCTGTCTCTTAAAAAAAAAAAAAAAAAACTAGGCCGGGTGTGGTGGCTCACTCCTGTAATCCCAGCACTTTGGGAGGCTAAGGCGGGTGGATTGCCTGAGGTCAGGAGTTCAAGACCAGCCTGGCCAACATGGTGAAACCCCATCTCTACTAAAAATGCAAATATTAGCTGGGCATGGTGGCGGGCACCTGTAATCCCAGCTACTTGGGAGTCTGAGGCAGGAGAATCACTTGAACCCAGGAGGCGGAGGTTGCAGTGAGCAGATATCTCACCACTGCATTCCAGCCCAGGCAACAGAGTGAGACTCCATTTCAAAAGAAAAAAAGGTGGAGGTGAGGGTGTCCCAAGTCCAGATGGGCAGACACAGCAGGTGCAAAAGCCCTGAGGCAGGACCCCCCGTGCCAGCCACACAAAGCCCAGTGATGCCAGGAGAGATGGATGCAGGGGACGGAAGGGACATCTGATGAGGCACATGAAGGCCTCGGAACAAAGGGCTTCAGGCTGGTTCACAGCTGGGCCTGGGGCCGAGGCCGGGGCACAGCTGACCACAGGCCTCCCCAGGCTCTGGCCGCCTCTCTGCCAGCTGGGAGCCGCTCTCGGGGCCCAGCACACCCAGCCCCGTGGCCGCACAGTTCACCAGCGAGGGGGCCACCCTGTCGGGCGTGGACTTGGAACTCGTGGGCAGTGGGTACCGCATGTCGCTGGTGAAGAGGAGGTTCGCCACAGGTACTCCCCAACCCTGCTGCCGGGGGACCCCAGGAGCCGGGACCTGGCTAGGGACAAGCAAGCCCCGGGCTGGCTGGGAGGGGCGGGGTGTGGAATCCGTGGTAAGGACAGGTGGGTGTTGGGGCCAGGAGACCGCAGATGGGGGCCACAGGTGGGGAAGGAGTCAGGGCCCCATGTGTCTTGGGCTGGCCTCTGGAGGACGTCCTTGAAAGGACCCAAGCCAGCCTGGTGAGATGGCTCATGCCTGTAATCCCAGCACTTTGGGAGGCCAAGGCGGGTGGATCACCTGAGGTCATGAGTTTGAGACCAGCCTGACCAACATGGAGAAACCCCGTCTTTACTGAAAAAAAGAAAAATAGAAAAAAAATAGCTGGGTGTGGTGGCACCTGCCTGTAATCCCAGCTACTTGGGAGGCTGAGTCAGAATCGCTTGAACCGGGGAGGTGGAGGTTGTGGCGAGGGCCATTGCACTGAGCCTGGGCAACTGGAGGGAAACTCTGTCTCCAAAAAAAGAAAAAAAAAAGAAAGGACCCAAGCCAGGGAGCTCAAAGTCCCCCTGCCACCCCCTCCTCCTGCCCCACCCTGCCCCCATCAAGGGGCTCCTGGGGCCCAGTGGCAGGAGGGACAATGAGTTATGGGGGTGTTTTGAAGAGGACAAGGATGATTGAAGCATCACAGGGTGGGAGCAGGGGACCCCTCCGGCACCCCTCCTCCATGCCCCTCCCCTGCACCCCTCCGGCACCCCTCCTCCCTGCCCCTCCCCTCCCGTACCCTCCTCCCCCCTCCCCCCTCGCCCCCCACCCGTCCTCCCCGCCCCTTCCCCTCACAGCCACGCCCCCACAGGGATGTACCTGGTGAGCTGCTGAATCCGCAGACGCTGCTGTCCCAGCTCTGCACTGCGCCCTGGTGCTGGTTGACCGCCCCCTGCCCTCCAGCGGGACCCTGGGGCCTCCCACCCCAGCCTCCCTGAGGCCCAGACTCTGCGGAGAGGAGCCCCACGCCCAGCCTGGCTGAGCCTGAGATTCACTCCTCCCCCTCATGCCAACCCCACACAGGTCCTGGCCTTTTAATGTTCTTTGAATAAACACTTTATTTTCTAATAAAATCAAAAAGGAAAACTATTCCTGCTCCATGAAGTGTCCTTTGCGTTGTCAGAGACAGGAGGAAGAGGAGGAGGATGGATACGATACACCTAATGTACCTCCCTTCCTGCTCTGTGTTCAGCATGTACAGGGCCATTCCAGGAGAGAAAGAACCAGACAGACACCCCAGCCCCATGGGCTGGAGGGAGGGAGGAGGACTAGAGGATCCCAAGCAGTCAGGAAGACTTCCTAAGGAGGGGGCATTATAAATGGGGTTTTGAGGTATGAGTAGGAGTTTGCAAGCTAGGAACAGGCATCTCAAGCAAAGTGATGGGAAGTTATTAGTTCAGTGAGGAAGCAATTAGTAACCTACAAACATTAATTGGGTCCCTACAGTATACCACATAGCAGGGAGAGAGCTGTGAGCGGAACAAAGTTCTTGGAAGCCAGACAGTAGAGACAGGAAGTCTGAGTGAGGAGCTGTTTGGCTACCACCTGCTGTGTGACTTGAGCCTCTGCTCATCTGCAACTCACCTCACTGGGTATCTGTGGGAGGTCACGCACTTAGAAGAGTGCCAACTACAGGGCAAAACCCCCAGTAGTACCGGGCAGCATTGGGAGCCTCGGGTGGAGGGTGGACCTTGGTGCAGGTATGCAAGAGTGGCCTGCTGGGGAAGGCAGGACAGTAGTAACAGGACCTGCAGCAGGGAGCAGGGCTGAGGCCAGTGGACAGTCTTGGGACCTGATGGACCTGCACGGAACCAGGGCCCGTGTTCCCGACCTTGACGCTGGGAAGACCGCAGGGAGCAAGCCCAGACTGGAAGAAGCTCAAAAGGAAGGAAGCAGGAGGTGGGATTTGGCATGAGACCTGCTGTGTGCTCTCTCTGACCCTCCCACACTGTCCTCCAAAGACAGAGTGCGTCTGGCGGTGCCTCGGTTTCCTTGTCTGTAACATGGGAGTAATCCTGACATTGGGAGAGGTTCAGGGAGCATCCTTGGCACAGAGCAAGTACGGAATGCTGGCTGAGAGCCGACCACCATGGCTCACGCTGGTAATCCCAGCACTTTGGGAGGCCAAGGCAGGAGGATCACTTGAAACCAGGAGTTCAAGGCCAGCCTGGGCAACATAGCAAGACTCCTGTTCCTACAAAAATAGAAAAATTGGCTAGCCATGGTGGCGCATGCCTGTGGTCCCAGCGGCTCGGGAGGCTGAGGCAGGAGGATCAATTGATCCCAGGAGGTTGAGGCTACAGTGAGCTAAGATCACACTGGTGCACTCCAACCCGGGCAACCAGAGTGAGAACCCATCACTTAAAACAACACAGGCTGGTGCAGTAGCTCATACGTGTAATCCCAGCACTTTGGGAGGGCGAGCTGGGTGGATCATTTGAGGTCAGGAGTTCAAGACCAGCCTGGCCAACATGGTGGAACCCCAGCTGCACTAAAAATACAAAAATTAGCAGGGCGGTACTGATGTGTGCCTGTAATTCCAGCAACTCAGGAGGCTGAGGCAGTAGAATCACTTGAGCCTGGGAGGTGGAGGTTGCGGTGAGCCAAGACTGTGCCAATGCACTCCAGCCTGGGGGACAGAGTGAGACCCTGCCTCAAAAAAACAAAACAAAAATCAGCTATAGGAAGAAAGGGTGATTATAGGACTTAGGAAATCAAATGAGGGCAGAGGCTCCTACAGCACCTGCCCCATCTGGGTACAAATGGCCCAGGGACTTCGTGGCCCTTGCAGTCCTCTCCCTGGTGGGCCTCAGCACCTAGACTATAAATTCAGAGATCCCACGTGCCCAGGGGGCCCTGGGTGTCAGGGAGAGAGCTGCAGAGGTGACAGAATCAAAGTCTGGGCCAGGCACGGTGGCTCCTGCCTGTCATCCCAGCACTCTGGGAGGCCGAGGGAAGTGGATCACTTGAGGTCAGGGGTTCAAGACCAGCCTGGCCAACATGGTGAAACCCTGTCTCTACTAAAAATACAATAATTAGCCAGACATGGTGGCGGGTGCCTGTAATCCCAGCTACTCAGGAGGCTGAGGCAGGAGAATCACTGAAACCCGGTAGGTGGAGGTTGCAGAGAGCCAAGAACATGCCACTGTACTTTTGAGAGTGAGACTCCATCTCAAAAACAAACATTGCCAGGCACGGTGGCTCACGCCTGTCATCCCAGCACTTTGGAAGACTGAGGCAGGTAGATCATGAGGTCAAGAGTTTGAGACCAGCCTGGCCAGCATGGTGAAACCCTGTCTCTACTTAAAGAATACAAACATTAGCCGGGCTTGGTGGCACATGCCTGTCATCTCAGCTATTTGGGAGGCCAAGGCAGTAGACTGCTTGAACCCAGGAGGCGAAGGTTGCAGTGAGCCGAGATCGAGGCAACAGAGCGAGACTCCATGTTAAAACCAAGCAAACAAACGAACAAACGACATGCAGAAGGCGCTTTGCCCAGGTGTGGCCTCCTAACTGCCCAGCCTTCAGAGCAGGTGTAAAATGACCTATCTCGGGAGAGTGAATTCCAAGAGAGAGGCAGGGTGTGAAACCCGTTAAACCTGCCGACCCCGGGCAGGCCTGGTACCATTGTGCAGTGCCCTGCTCTCTTCCACCCGAGGGACCTTCAAACCTCAGCTGTGGCACACAGTGATTCACTGGCAACAGCGCTATCTCTTGGGTCACGTGTCAGAGGCCACCGTCAGCTGGTAAGTGGCCTGACTGGATTTTTTTTAATTGAGGTGAAATTAACATAACAAAGAAGGAATCACTTTCAGGTGAAGGATTCAGGACCTTCACCATACTGTGCAACCACACCCTTGATCTGATTCCAGAACATTTCCATCCTCCCACAAAGGAAACCCCGTCTCTGTCAGCAGCCACGCCCCGTTTCCCTTTCTGCAGCCCCTGGCAACCACTAATCTGCTTCCCGTCTCTGTGGGCTTGTCTGTTCTGGGAGTTTCACAGCAATGGAATCACACTATACATGGCCTTTTGTGCCTGGCTTTTCAACTCAGCAACGTGTTTTTGTTTCATTCTTGTAGCATGGATCAGCTGAATCTCTTTTTTTGAGACGGTCTTGCTCTGTCACCCAGGCTGGAGTGCAGTGGCACGATCTTTACTCACTGTAACCTCTACCTCCCGGGTTCAAGCAGTTCTCCTGCCTCGCCTCCTGAGTCACTGGGATTACAGGTGTGCACCACAATGCCCAGCTAATTTTTGTATTCTTTAGTAAAGATGGGGGTTTGCCACGTTGGCCATGCTGGTCTCACACTTGGGACCTCAAGTGATCTGCCTGCCTCGGCCTCCCAAAGTGCTGGGATTACAGGCATGAGCCACTGCGCCTGGCCAGGACTTCAGTCTTTCCGATGGCTGAATAAGACTCCAGCTGCACAGCGGCTCACGCCTGTAAACCCAGCACTCTGGGAGGCCGAGGCAGGTGGACTGCTTGAGGTCAGGAGTTTAAGACCAGCCTGGGCAACATGGTGAAACCCCACCTCTGCTAAAAATACAAAAAATAGTCGGGCATGGTGGTGGGCATCTGTAGTCCCAGCTACTTGGGAGGCTGAGGCAGGAGAATTGCTTGAACCCAGGAGGTGGAGGTTGCAGTGAGCCGAGATCGTGCCACTGCACTCCAGCCTGGGCGACAGAGCAAAACTCCATCTTGGGAAAAAGACTCAAGACTCCACTGACGGACCACATGTTACTTATCCATTCATTCACTGGACACTTGGGTGGGCCGTCTCCTCCCAAGCCGCTGAGAAGAGCTTTGTGAATTGTGCTGCTGTGAACTTCCCAGTGCAAGCTTTTGTTTCAACCCGTTTTCAGCTCCTTTGGGTGGGTCCCTAAGAGTGCAACCGTGGGATCATAGGGTCATTCTGGTCCAGATTTTGAACCCAGACCTCTGGGACCACAGATCAGTCCGCTGCATCCAGTGAACCCAGGAAGCACCTGGTTTATAAGGACTTCGGGCTCAGGGTGTCTGTGTGTCTCACACATGGGAAAACGGTTCCGTGTCCCTGGATGAGCAGGGCGGGGCTCACATTTTCCCAGCACCCTGAATTCTAGAGGGCCAGTATCCCTGGAGGAGGAGGAGATGGGCAGGGACCCTGCCAAGGGATGGTACTTTTTATTTTTGAGACAGAGTCCCGCTCTGTTTCCCAGGCTGGAGTGCAGGTGTGATCTCTGCTCACTGCAACCTCCGCCTCCTGGGTTCAAGTGATCCTCCTGCCTCAGCCTCCTGAGGAGCTGGGCTTACAGGCACGAACCACCACGCCTGGCTAATTATTATTATAATATTTTTTCTTTGAGACAGAGTGTTCCTGTATCTCCCAGGCTGGAGTGCAGTAGTGTGATCTCGGCTCACTGCAACCGCTACCTCCCCAGTTCAAGTGATTCTCCTGCTTCAGCCTCCTGAGTAGCTGGGCTTACAGGTGCCTGCCAGTGTGCCTGGTTGATTTTTTTTTTTGAGACGAAGTCCGCTCTATCACCAGGCTGGAGTGTAGTGGTGCAATCTCGGCTCACTGCAACCTCCTCCTCCCAGTTTAAGTGATTCTTCCACCTCAGCCTCCCAAGAAGCTAGGACTACAGGCATGTGCCACCATGCCTGGCTAACTTTTTGTATTTTTTTAGTAGAGGCGGGGTTTCACCACGTTGGTCAAGATGGTCTCGATCCCTTGACCTCATGATCCTCCCACCTTGGCCTCCCAAAGTGCTGGGACTACAGGTGTGAATACCATGCCCGGCTTGTATTCTTTCATAGAGATGGGTTTTTGCCATGTTGGTCAGGCTGGTCTTGAACTCCTGACCTCAGGTGATCTGCTCACCCCAGCCTCTGGGTGCTGGGATTATAGGCGTGATCTCCCTACCTCAGCCTTCCAAAGTGCTGGGATTATAGGTGTGAGCCACGTTGCCCAACCAGGATGGAACTTTTATTACGGCTCCTTCGTGGGGCCTGTGGCTTGGGGGGATCCAGGGGCCCAACAGAGGGAACATAGACTCTGAAGCAAAGTCTGAAGTTATCTTATCACAGTGAGGCCGGTAGTGTCACATTTAATACTGTAACATTTGCCATTCATTCAGGTAGGCTTGCAAAAATTAAAAAAAAAAAAAAAATTTATCGGCCTGGCATGGTGGCTCACGCCTGTAATCCAAGCACTTTGGAGGCCAAGGCGAGTGGATCACCTGAGGTCGAGAGTTCAAGACTAGCCTGACCAACATGGGGAAACCCCATCTTAAAAAAAGAAGAAGAAGAAGAAGAAGAAAAAGTGTGAAACTCTGCCTCTAAATAAATAAATAGCGTTTTTAAAAAAGAAATTCTAAAAAAATAAATAAATAAATAAAAATAAAAATTTGCCATAATCCCCTTCATACACTTTTGGTCACGTATTTGCCCTGAGGGTTCACTTCCCAGACCTCTCCCATCTAGAGGACCCAAAAGCTATTTGCTACACTTTACAGGTGAGGAAACTGAGGCACAGCCAGGCCACATACACACCCCAGCTTCCTCCTCAGGAAGAAACAGGGATGGAAGAGGAAGGAGGAGCCCAGTTCACACACCTGGGCTTCCGCAACCCTAAAAATCAACAAATCTGAGGCCGGGCGCAGTGGTTCACAGCTACAATTCCAGCCCTTTTGGAAGCTGAGGCAGGTGAGTCCCTTGAGGCCTGGTGTTTGAGACCAGCTTGGGCAACTTCACAAAACCCCACGTCCAGAAAAAGGACAAAAATTAGCCAGGCATGCTGGCAGGTGCCTGTAGTCCCAGCTACTCAGGAGGCTGAGGTGGGGGGATTGCTTGAACCAGGCAGGCCCGCGTTGTAGTGAGCCGAGATTGCGCCACTGCACTCTAGTAGCCTGGACGACAAAGGGAGATCCTGTCGAATGAAAAGAGAAAGGACACTACAAATCCAATTTTTGAATGAGAGAGTGGGGGGGGGAAGAAAGAAAGAACACTACAAATCTGTCTGATTTTCAACTTCAGAACCTTTCCAAATGCCAGCAGGTGGCATCTGAATGTCTGGCAGTACAGCATAGGTTTTTGGGTCCTAGGACTATTTTAAATATAGAAATGGGGTCTCACTATGTTGCCCAGGCTGGTCTCAAACTCCTGGGTTCAAGTGATCCACCTACCCGGCCTCCGGAAACGAAGGAGTGAGCCACCGCGCCCTGTCCTTGGTTTCCGGAATATTTGAACCCCTTGCGGAGAGCAGAAAAGCCACAAGGTTTAACCTGCCCCCCTCCGTCCGCCCCCCACCCTCATCCAGTCATTTCTTCACGGAATGTACCTTGGCCGACGCTGACCGGGCTCTGTGCCAGGAACTTGCCATGTGTCCCTTGATCATCTCCATCCACGAGGGGCTCATTCCCTAGCAGCGGGCCAGGCCCAGGGTGGGGTCGTGCGCCCCGAGAGCGGCGAGGTGGCAAGAGGCTGGAGCCCGGCCCGGAGAGGAGAAGGTGGGGGTGGCCGGAGAGGGAGGAGCCGGCGGGGAACTTCGCCTGGGCCACCAGGAAACTCAGCCCAGCTGGGAGCAGGGGCCTGGCGGGAGGCGGGGGCGGAGGGAGGCAGGAAGGAGCGAGCCCCGTGGGAGGGAGGAACTGGAGAAGGCGGGAGCGCTGGCTCAGGTGCAAACTGTCTTCGGTTCCTGGGCGGAGAGGATCCGGCACAGGGGCAGAGGCGGGACTGTGGTCTGGGGGTGAGTGTCTGCAGCCCCCGCAGGATCTGGCGGACCCCGGGATGGGGGTCTGGGGGCGGGGGAGTTGGGGCTCTGGAGAAGCCCCTGAGGTCTCCACGGCGCATACCCCGCAGATGTGGGGACATTCAGGAGCCCCGAGTCCCAGGAGCCCGGTTGCCCTCACCCAGCCCTAATTGTCCCCGGCGTTCCCCAGGCCAGCTCGGACCTGGGTCTGGGAGGAGGCCTCCCCCACGTCTGGCCACCCGGGACCCCGCGCAGCTCCCAGGGTTGGGCGGGATCAGCCCCCCGAGGCGGAGGCGGCTCAGGTCGCCTGGCTATTGCTGCGGCTGTGGCCTGCTTGCCGGGATTGTTGGCGCCTTGGTTGGGAGGGTCTGGGCAAGCTGGCACTGGGGTCCCCGCTGTGCGTCTGGGAACTGCAGCCGACCCCCAGCCTCTCCCGGCGGCTCCGGTGCTGCGGGGCCCGCCAGGTGCTGGGCGGCATGCCAGGGCCCCCGGCTGTGTAGCGCGGACACGTTGCCCTTGGCCTCTGAACCGGCCTCAGTTTCCCCTCCGTGAGGTGGGACAATGACCCAGCTGGGATGAGGATGCCCGCAGCGTTCAGTCAGGAAGTTTTTGTGATGGGGTGTACTGCTGGCCACTGGGGGCCCTTCGGTGAGTGACGTTTGGTCTCCGAGCCTCAGTTTCCCTATATGTCAAGGGAGGTCTCGGGACATAGGACCTTGACGAGGATGAGTTGAGTGGGTAAGAGCTGTGGTCGCTCAGTGGGTGTCCAGAGACAGTCAATTGTCATCATAATTATATGTATATATTTTTTTCTTTTTTTTTTTTAATTCTTTTTTCTTTTTACACTCCCACCCCGTTTTTTTTCTTTTTAAAGACAGAATCTGACTGTCACCCAGGCTGGGGTGCAGTGGCACGATCTTGGCTCACTGCAACCTCCACCTCCCAGGTTCAAGCAATTCTGCCTCAGCCTCACGAGTAGCTGGGACTACAGGCATGTGCCACCACGCCCAACTAATTTAGTAGATAGATTTCACCATGTTGGCCAGGTGGGTCTCAAACTCCTGAGCTCAGGTGATCCACCCATCTCAGCCTCCCAAAGTTCTGGGATTATAGGCGTGAGCCACCACGCCCGGCCCATCATTATTATATTAATAATAATTCTGTCTGTAGCCACTGTTCAGACTCACTCCTGTTCCAAGGATCCTGACCACCTTTTCCTCTGGGTCAGATTTAAACCTTTTGTAGAGGCAGGGTCTCACTTTGTCACCCAGGCTGGAGTGCAGTGGCTCGACCTTGGCTCACTGTACCCTCCACCTCCTGGGCTCAAGTGATCCTCCCACTTCAGCTTCCCAAGCAGCTAATTACTCAGCTAATTAAAAAAGCTTTTGTTTATAGAGATGGGGTCTCACTATATTGTCCAGGCTGGTCTCAAACTCCTGGATCCAAGCAATCCTCCTGCCTTGGCCTCCCAAAGTGCTGGGATTTCGGGCATGAGCCACTGCACCCAGCCCTGATTTTTTTAAATGGATACTTCTCGAGGGGAAACTGAGGTACCCCTCAGCTCGGGCCAGGGCCTCCTGCAGTCTAGACTCGGGACTCAGAGCCCAGGGGTGGTCACCTGACTGTCTAGTTCTGGGGCCAGCCCTGGGGGCCGTCACTTCCTCTCACTTCCCTGTTCTCAAGGTGACACTAGGCAGGGCTGGTATGGGGCTTGGAGTCAGGAGGAAGAGGTGTGGCCCCCAAGTCAAGCAGTTGGGCCCCTCCTGGCCTAGGTGAGCAGCTGGGTGTTTTTCCAGTCTGGACACCCTCAGCATGTAGCAGTTTCTGCCAGGTGCTCTGGGTGTGGGGGAACCAAAAGGAGGCCTTGGAGCCTCTCTGCCCCAGGCCAGAGTTCAGGGACTGCAGACAAGCTGGGCCAGCCCAGGAGGAGAAAGTAAGGCCTCCCTGGGTGATGTTTCCTCCTGCCACCAGCCTCTGAGGCCCAGAGCAAGGCAGGGATTTGCTCGCTCTCCCAACCCCATGAGCCAGGGAGGATGCCTATTATGGACCCTCTTCCTGACTTGGCTTGATTGCTCCTCATGATGGGGAACTCACTATCAACAAGGCAAACTAAAGGAAGTCTCATCAGCTGGGAGTTAAAGGCAGGAACTAGGCTCCCACCCAACCTTTCTTAGATGTATTTCTAGACCTCTCTGCCTCAGTTTTCCTTTCCATAAAAATGGGGCTAATGCAGCCCTGCTTCCCAGCACAGATACAGAGTCTGGACGGTCAGATGGTGGCCAGGCTGCACGTAGGAGCTGGCATATTGACTGCAGCCCTGATCATGCCGCTCATTATGTTCTCGTTGATCACAATGTGTCTTTGCACGACAGAAATATTATCACGAATATTTCCAGGCTCTAAGTAAGGGGCAGCCTGAGGGTGTGGGGGTCCAGGAAGTCCCTAGAGGAGGGGCCCACAACACCTCAGTGCTCCCATCACTCCTGGATCGTGGGAAGGGTCTGAGGTTGAACTGCGATTCACGGCCTGCTGTCCCCAGCCTGTTTCCCCCTCTATGGAGGGAGCCGTAGATGTCCCTCGAGGAGCCACTGGACCAGGACTGGTGTTTACTGAGGGCCCCTGTCCAGCCTCACGCAGGTGCCTCGGGCAGTTCCTGCAGCAGGGCAACATACAATGAATGAGTCATCCACGACAAAGCCTGGGGACCTAGAAACCCAGCACACCAAGGTCTAAAGTGCATGTGGCACCCTGCCCCGCCCCACCCTTTTTTCCACACCCAGCTACTCTCTGGTGCGAATATTGATTATATGTTGACATAGAACTCGCTACACACACGGTTTTGCTGAAGCAGGGTCCGGCGGCCATCGTAAACCTAAAGAATTATGTTTATTGGATTTTTTCTTTTCTTCCCCCTGTATTTGCAAAAGCAACACCTGCTCCTTGTAAAAATGGACCAGCCCATCATTAGTGGGAGGCCAAACTGGTAAGAACTGGGGAGGAACCAGCCTCAGGGGCCAGCAGGTCAGGATTTAAATCCCACCCACCCCCCCTGGCTGTGTGACCTTGGAAAGGTGTGGACCCTCCCCGTACAGATCGTCCACTTGGACCCTGGGTTCCCCTCTGGAAGGCTCAGTGAGAGTCCTGGGCTTCCTCCACAGGCGAGGGGCTCACGCCACCTTCCGTAAGTGTCCCCAACTTCCACCCTGGAGTTTCTTCACCTCTGGAGGATGTACTCCTCTGGAAAATTGTCCTGTTTGCCACTTCTCTGTCCCCTGTTAGTGTGATGGTGTCCTAGGCACACAAGCGTTTCTCTTCATCATCTGGGCTCTGTCCTTGAAACCTAGACCCAGATGTGGTATACACTAGGTGCTCAGCACTTGCTTGGAGCTGTCGCAAGTATCCAGGTGATAAGGGTGACAGCAGCTGCTATTAAACCTCACTGTGGCCGGGCGCAGTGGCTCACGTCTGTAATCTCAGCACTTTGGGAGGCCGAGGCAGGCAGATCACCTGAAGTCAGGAGTTCGAGACCAGCCTGGGCAACATGGTGAAACCTCGTCTCTACTGAAGATAAAACAGTTCGCCGGGCGTGGTGACGCACTCCTGTAATCCCAGCTACTCTGGAGGCTGAGACAGGAGAATCGCTTGAACCTTGGAGGCAGAGGTTGCAGTGAGCTGAGATTACACCACTGCACTCCAGCCTGGGCGACAGAGCGAGGATCTGTCTCAAAAAAAATCCAAAACAAAAACTCATTGTGGCTAGGTGAGGTGGCTCATACCTGTAATCCCAGCACTTTGGGAGACTGTGGTGGGAGGATCACTTGAGCCCAGGAGTTAGAGACCAACCCAGGCAACATAGCGAGACCCACCTCTACAAAAATGAAATTAGCCAGGCGTGGTGGTGCGTGCCTGTGGTCCTAGCTACTCAGAGGCGGAGGTGGGAGGATGGCTTGAGCCCTGGGATTGGAGGCTGCAGTGAGCTATGATTACACGCAGCATCACTCCAGCCTGGGTGACAGAGTGAGATCTTGTCTCAAGAAAAAAATCTCATTGTTGGCACTTCCCGTACGTGCCACTTGGAGAAAAGGCCACTGCTTGCATCCCCCGCTTGACCCTCTAGCTTTTCCCAGGAGTCAAGTCCTTATGCATTCACACAGGATTCTTCCAGAAGCTTCCCTCACCCTCCACCCCTTGCCTTGCCTTTTGGAAGCCTCAGAATGTTTCACGCCTCCATCCAAATCCCAACTGAGGATTGGTGAGAACTGGAGAAGCGGCAGCCACAACAGTGCTGCCAGCCGGTGGCCCTGCCTCCATCCCAGCTTTGTACATACAGGAGGATACTGAGGTCTGGGTGGCCCCAGCTTCTCGGTCCAGGTCCTGTGGATGGTCAGTCACTGGGTCAGAATGTCCTTCCTCAAGGGCTGTCGGGAGTCCCCATGGCTGCTTCGAGGACATCAGCTCACAGGCCAGTCCTTCCAGCCGCAGGCAAGGCGGAGACAGAGCCGGTGACCAGGCCAGTTAGGGGTATCCGGGCCTGCGAGTCCATGAAGAGGGGTTCAGAAGCAGACCTCTCTGGGCCTCGGTTTCCTCATCTGGAAAATGGGAGTTTTGCAAGGGGAATTACCTTCATGTTATGGAGACCTCTGAGTCAGTGTCAGGCAGGACATCCCCTCCCCACTGTGCCATCCCCCTTCACCCATCATCTCTGAATAGTCCTGGGAGTGAAAGGGGGACAGATCGAGCCCCAGGGGGTGTCAGCAGGGTCCTCGATGACATTCACATGCCCCACATCGTCTCAGAGACAGTGACAAGAACAGGGTTGAGACCAGGCGTGGTGGCTCACGCCTGTAATCTCAGCACTCTAGGAGGCTGAGGCAGGGGGATCACGTCTTGATGTCAGGGGTTCAAGATCAGCTCGGCCAAGATGGTGAAACCCCGATTCTACTAAAAATACAAAAATTAGCCAGGTGTGGTGGTAGGTGCCTGTAATCCCAGCTACT